GTCTTACAAGAAATGCTAAAGGAAGTTCTTCAAACTGAAAGACAAGAACACTAATTAGTAATACAAACACATATGAAAGTGTAAAACTCACTGGTAAAAGTAAACATACAGTCAAATTCAGGACACTGATTCTGTAATGGTGGTGTGTAAATTGCTTACATATTTAGTATGAAGGTTAAGAGACAAAACTATTAAAAATAATGACTACAATAATTTTTAAGAGATATACAATATAAAAAGATGTAAATTGCAGCATCAAAAACATAAAATGTGAGGAAGGATGGAGCAAAAGTTTAGGGTTTGGTATGCAACCAAAATTAGGTTGTTATCAACTTTAAATGTTATAACTTTTATACTTTTAAGAAGTTTTATGTAAGCTTCATGGTAACCATAAGGGAAAAACCTACAGTAGATACACATAAGACAAAAAGTAAGCAATCGCAGCATAACACTAGAGAAAATCACTTAATCACAAAGTAAGAAAATAAAATAGGCTAAAAGCAACAAAAGATCTATAAAACAACCAGAACAATAAAATGGCAGTAGTAAGTCCTTACCTATCAATAATTACTTTGAAAATAAATAGATTAAATTTTTAAATCAAAAGACATAGAGTGGCTGAATGGAAAAAAAATTTAAAAAAACAAGACCCAACTATATGCTGCATACAAGAGACTCATCTCACATTTAGGACACACATGGACTGCAAGTGAAGGGATGGAAAAAAATATCCATGCAAATAAAAACCAAAAAAGAGCAGGTTGGCTATACGTATATCAGATAAACTTTAAGTCAAAAACTGTAAAATAAGGCAAAAAAATTATTATATAGAGAAAGGGGCTCAATTTATCAAGAGGATATAACAATTGTAAATATATATGTACCCAACACTGAGACAGCTAAATATAGGTCTAATCCCAGCACTTTGGGAGGCTAAGGTGGGCAGATCACCTAAGGTCAGGAGTTCATAACCAGCCTTGCCAACATAGTGAAACCCTGTCTCTACTAAAAATACAAAAATTAGCTGGGTGGATGGCACGTACCTGTAATCCCAGCTGCTCGGGAGGCTGAAGCAGGAGAATTACTTGAACTGGGGAGTCGGAGGTTGCAGTGAGCCAAGATCACGCCACTACACTCCAGCCTGGATGATAGAGCGAGACTTCATCTAAAAAAAAAAAAAAGCGCAATGAGATATCATCTCACACCTGCTGGAATGGCTATTACCAAAAAGATGAAAGATAACAAGTTTTAGCAAGGATGTAGAGAAAAGGGAACCCTTGCACACTGCTGGTGGGAATGTAAATTAGTACAACCATTATGGAAAACAGTATGAATAGTCCTCAAAAAAGTAAAAATAGAGCTTCCATATGATCCAGCAATCCTACTATAGGGTATATACCAAAGGAAATGAAATCAGAATGTCAAAGAGATATCTGTATTTCTATGTTCACTGCAGCATTATGCACAATAGCTAAGATAAAGAATTAACCTGTTAATCAATAAATAAATGGATAAAAAATGTGGCATACGTACACGATAAATACTATTCATCTCTATAGAAGAAGAAAATCTTGTCATTTGCCATAACATGGATGTTCCTGGAGGACGTTATTTATATGAAAGAAGTCACATACAGAAAGACAAATACTCAATGATCTCACTTATGTGTGGAATCTAAAAAGGTGGAATTCATAAAAGTTGTGAGCAGAATGGTGGTTGCCAAGGGCTGAGAGGGGGAGGGTTTTGGGGAGATTTTTGTCCAATAATAAAGAATTTCAGTTACACAGAAGGAATAAATTCAAGAAATCTGTTGTACAACTTGGTCACTGTAACTTAATAATGATGTGTACTTTGAAAATCTCTAAGACAATTTAACTGTACTCACCGGAAGAAATGATAAATATGTGAGGTAACGTGTATGTTATTCAGCTCAATGGAGCTATTTAACAATGTATACGTGTTTAAAAACATCATATTATACATGATAAATGTGTACAATTTTAATTTGTTAATTAAAGAAATAAAATCAAGTCAGAGAAATAAAATGATGGCAAATATTTTGCTAAATAATAAGCAATTATACCAATTCAAGTTTTTGTCAAATGTCAGTATTTGGGGTTTCAACTAGTTATTACAGAGCTGAAAATTCTGCTGACAACACAAACCCTTTTGAAAATTTATTTCACTTTTATCTTTCAATGCTTCGTAGTAATAGAGAGGACTTTCACCTGTAGATAAGAGGGGTTGAAGATTTACTGAGTGGGGAGAAGCACACCAACATTAGTTTCTCCTGTGGACAACAGATTTAATCTATGTTTTATTTCATTCTGCTAAGAGTTAATCCTTACAGGCTGGGCGTGGTGGCTTATGCCTGCAATCCCAGCACTTTGGGAGGCCAAGGCAGGAGGATCACAAGGTCAGGAGATCAAGACCATCCTGACTAACACGGTGAAACCTGGTCTCTACTGAAAACACAAAAAAATTAGCCGGGTGTCTCAATTAAAAAAAAAAAAAGAGTTGGTCCTTACAAAGCAAGTATGGCCACCTGCATTTTGTAAATGAGAATATCGATGCCAAGAGAGAGATTTTTGCCAAAGGTCACACAGAAGTGGTGGAGCTAACATTCAAGCCAGCCTATGGAACTCCAAAGTCTGAGCTCTTTCCTCAGCCTATCCCTTTAGCTTTTCCTGGAACATTGGCTGGGGAATGCCCAAGAGGAAGGGGAGTGCTTGTTAAACTGGGTAGATTAGTGCATAGAGGAAAAGCCTCTCAATCAAAGAGTTGTGAGGGTTTGGAAGAATTGACTAATTACAAAACATGATCTAGGCTCAGTCCCTTTCTCCCCAGCTCCTTCCTTCTTTCTTTCAGGGCAGAATTTCTCCAGCTTGGCTCTACTGACATTCATTGTTGTTCATTTTATTGGGGTGGGACTGTCTTGTGGTTTGTAGGGTGTTTAGTGGCATTACTGGCCTCCATCCATTAAATGCCAGTAGCATCCCTCCCCAGTTGTGACAATAAAATATATCCCTAGACATTGCCAAATGGCATCTGGGGTAGGGAATCTTCCAGATTTAACAACCGGTTTTGGTTGTGTCTTTGTTTTTGAGATGGAGCCTCACTCTGTCACCCAGGCTGGAGTGCAGTGGCATGATCTCGGCTCATTGCAACCTCTGCCTCCCAGGTTCAAGTGATTCTCCTGCCTCAGTCTCCAGAGTAGCTGGGACTACAGGTGGGCCACTGCTCCCGGATGATATTTGTATTTTTAGTAGAGATAGGGTTTCACCATGTTGGCCAGGCTGGTCACGAACTCCTGACCTCAGGTGATCCACCTGCCTTGGCCTCCCAAAGTGCTGGGATTATAGGTGTGAGCCACTGTGCCTAGCCAACAACCAGTTTTATAGTGACCAACCATCCCAGTTTGCCCTGGACTGAAGATTTACTAGGATCTCTGAGGCATATTTCAGGGATTCAAGGCTGCAACTAGGATAGTCCAGGGCAAACTGGGATATTTGGTCAACCAACAAGTAAAGTTTCATCTCCTGGTTAAATTAAGGCTGTGGTGGGAGGAGGCATTGTGTTGATTGTGTGCTTGTCCTGGCAGTCTTTAGTTTCTCTAAGCTGTTGCTATATCAAGTACATCTGCCTAATACTCCTTTCTTCCCCCTCAGGTAGCCTGCTAGGGTTGTAGGGGAGGCGTCCTACCTAAGGAAGGCTGGCTGAGCCACTATATGGGTCATTACAGGACAGAAGAAGACCAGAGTGAATGCTGGCCTCTGTGTGTGTGTGTGTGTGTGTGTGTGTGTGTGTGTGTGTTTGTGTGTGAGAGAGAGAGAGAGAGAGTGTGTGTGTGTGTGTGTGTGAGAGAGAGAGTGTGTGTGTGTGAGAGAGAGAGTGTGTGTGTGTGTGTGAAAGAGAGAGAGAGAGAGAGGGTGTGAGAGAGAGAGTGTGTGAGAGAGAGATTGTGTGTGTGAGAGAGTGTGTGTGTGAGAGAGTGTATGTGTGAGAGAGAGTGAGAGAGAGAGAGAGAGTGTGTGTGTGTGTGTGTGTGTTGAACTAGAGAACTGGTAGGGGCAGTTGGGAGGGTGCTGGACTGCAGAGAGCCCATTAGTGCTGCTCCAGTGGATGTGCACATCTGTGTTTACACTGACAGTTAATGGATATCGGATGGGGAAAGGTTTTTTTCAGCTATGTGTTACTGCAGCCTATGACTATGTGGTATGAGCATTTTAATATCTTTGGTGTTTTGAAATACTTTTATGAGTTACTCTGACAACTTGTCAAGGATGAGAGAAACAAATAAAAGACATCTCAAAAATAGTTTGCTATTAGGATTTTCTTTGTTGAGATGTTGATGATGTCTTTTCAACAGTGATAAATGTTTTGGTTCTTTGTAAATTTACAAGGCACTTCCAAAATGTCATTTGTCCCTCATTCTTCTATTCTTGATGTCATTCTATGATCCTGTACAAGATGAAAACAATCTGCGTTCTGAAGGTAGTTAAGTAACATGCTGAGGTCAAATGCCAGGATTTGAGTCAGGTTCATGGGGCTCCATTTCCTGTGACCTCTCTATTCCACCAGGCTGCGAAAGAATGACTCTTGCATTCATGCACTCAGTCTGTGTTTCTGTAAACCTGAATGGTAAAATGATGGAGGGTGTGAATCAGTTCTATTAGCAGTGACTCTGACAATGGTCCTTCCCCTCTTCTGTCTTCCCCTTCTCTGTCTTGCAGCAAGTGGGAGGACAAAGCAGGTTTCATGAGAGCAGTGCCCAAGACCCACAGTCACCTACTGCCAAGGTAACAACCCTACTGATATCTGGATGTATTTTCCTGTGCTCTTTGACACAGGCGTGGAGACACAGGTGTGACACACCTGTGCTCTTTGACACATGTAATTTGCTGTGCATAATTGTTTGCACTTTCCTTGATTATGTAATCCAGTGGCTTTTGCCAAGAACTCTTTGTGCCCTGAAGCTCTGAGCTGGTTCCCTCCTATTGGTGGACCTTATTTCATTTTATTGGGAGGCATAATTTTCAGGTTACAGAGCAGTGATAACTACCTGCCAGTGTCTCTTAGGAGTGAGGTACCTGGAGTTGAGGGACCCCAACCTGTGGCAATGACAGCGGACGAGTTGGTTTTCTTTGTGAACGGCAGAAAGGTAAGTAGGAGCTGACCTCTGGTTTGTTGTCCCTGCTCCCTGGGAGGGGACATCTGTCCTCTGGAAGAGCCATATCTTGTTCTCTGTCTTTCCTGTTCCCTCTTAATTGTTATCCTGTCTTTCTCTCTCTCCCTTTAAAGGTGTTGCTGCATTTTGGTAACGCTGGGGAAGAAGACCTTCTCAGGGCTAGAGCACAGACAAGATACTCAGAAGGCAAAGGAATGAGGGAGAGAGAGGCAAGCAGAGAGGCATCTGTGAACTAGCTGCCAACTCTCTGCAGTAGTGGAGATTGGCACAGAATGAGAAAGGGGAGTTGAGTTCTAGGTGAGATTTGAGGTCATCACTACACTTCTATTTCTGGGTTTAATCAAATATATCCTAAAATTTATGTTGCTCTCTTTACAGAGAGAAGGAACAGGAATGTGTTTTCTTGCTTTTATCAGGATATAAGATGTACACAGCCTTTGAATCTAATATATTATATACATAGGTTTAACAGCCAGTCCTGATTCACTGTGTGGTGACATATACCGACACCTTGTGGCAAACCACAATTTTTTTTTTCCATAAAGGGCGTCTCCCGCATTCTCCGCACTCCCCACCCCCACACACTTAGTTCTACATGTAAGTTGCAAATCTCTCACCTACTTGAATTTACCTTATTGGTGCACAGGGACTTAGGGAAGGTGACATGGGTAGCAGCCCTTGGACAAGAGTGAGAATCTTTGCAAATTTTAATGTGGTGCAGGGAGACAGGGGGCAAGCATATTACATGGTCTCCAGCCTCCATTTGCCCCCCTACAACACTGCTGAGATGCTCACACCTGTTCAACTCCCCACTTGGGAATGAAAAGGATAGTAAAAGAGTCCCATAGTTGCACATTGTAACTAACTGTGTGGACAGTGCGTGATGAATGTGCCCAATGTGTCCCCCAAATAAGGGCAATTTTATTTGTCTTGCTATATTGGCACTTTTGCATTGAGTTGAGAAACTTTTGATATAATTTTGAGTGACTTTTGATGTAATTTTCAAGAATAATAATGTGCTTCACAGGACTCCTAGGTCTTAAATTTCCAGGATGTGTGTGGGTGACCGTAAAAGATATTTCATGAGCTGTTTCAGCATCGGTGCTCCAAAGATTGATGGATTCCCTTTGAGTGGTGCCTTTGGGAGGTGCTGGGGAATGGGGACAGCCATGTTCTTCCGGGTTCAGAGTTTCCTCTCTGAGCTGCATCCTTTGCAGGGATGGCGCCTGGCACCAACCCAAGAAATAGGGCAAAGCTTTCAAGTTGATAGTAGTAAGATTTTGCATCCAACATTTCAACAACTTCTTTCATTCAGCAATTACAGTGTAGAAATTTAGGAAACCATTGTACAACTGGCTTTCTAGGAGACCTACTTACACAAAGACATCTCTGGAATTTTTATTAGTAATTTTTACATTGGGTAAACAGCTAGATTCAATGAATTCCAAGGTTATGTCTTACTCTTAGGTTTTATTGTTTATTAAACCAAATCATTGGTTAACGTGTGAAAGTGTACGTTTCTGCTCTTCTTCAGGGATGGCTTGCTGTTATGCACTAAATCTAGAAAGCAGCATTTCAAGGTAAATCTGGTTTGGGGAAAATTATTTTCCCTTGCATTTTACTTTCACTTTAGGAAAGTAATTTTAAATTTTTAAATGGTACCATCACATCAAACCCTATTATTTCTAGAAGCTTCTACTACTGCCAGTTTCTGTGATGAATATCCATGTTTGTAATTTATAATGGTGCAGCATGTTCAGAAACTTCAAGAACGGCAGAAGGGCAATGCAGAAAGTAATTATGTGAAAGTAGTGCTGTAAAAACAAGGCCAAACAAGGGAATTCCTGGGCAAACAATGACAGCTGTGAGAAAGTTGTCCTCATTTTTATTCGGAAGATATTCTAGACCTTTTGTTACAGGAATTGTGCAAAGTAGTTACCAAAGAAGCTCTAAGAACTTAGTGACTCATTCTTAAATGTGAGCCTACTCCTCTCCTTGTTTTGTACCACCGTCCAGGACTCTGTTTTCACTAAATGGGGTCCTGCAGAAGGTGTTAGATGCAAAAAGTCGAATACCTCTAGGGCCTTCTGTGGTGGTGATGAGCCTTGATGACTATTGTTTTCACATCTTTTGTTCTAGAGTCAGAGTCAAAGGGAAGGAACTGTCCAGTCTTTTTTTTTTTTTTTTTTTTATTGTAATGACAGCCTTTTTGCAAGGCAGCATTCTAGCTTTTCTGAGTAGTCACTCTGTCTAGGGGAGACTGTGGCACCTGGAAGAATCTGGGAGGATTTGGCAGGTAGGGTGCAGCCAAAGGTGTCCACGAGTGATCCCCACAACAAGTGAGTGTTGGCTACAGAGATCCTCACGGTGACTTTCACTCACTCACTCACTCACTCATCATTCACTTGCTCACTCCCCATATAGTCAACATTTATCAAGCTCCTTCTGAGGCCTCAGACAGTGGGCTATGCACTAGAGGAATAAGATTTCTAAGATCAGGCATTTGCCATTTTGGAGCCTATAGACTAGTTGGAGAGAGGGATTATAATTAGACAAAGTAATACATTCTGAAATGTATTTCACAGAAAACTAGCAGCATGAGATGCTCTTCTTGGATATTCTTAAACCACTTATCACAGTGCATGGTATACAGTGTCAAACTAGTGTGGATGGAATAAGTGGATGAATTTTTAAAATTTTGAGAAATCCTGTACTAAATAAATTACTCCTCTAACTTTGTATTTTACAATTATTTTATGTTTAAAGAAAAATTGCAAGAAGAACACAAGGAGGTATTAAATACCCTTTATGTACTTTACCAACTATTAACGTTTTGCCACATTTGCTTCATCATTCTTTCTTTCTTGCTCTGGGCACACACACAGATACACAAGTATATATTATAAGTACATAAATAATTATATATAAATGTACATAATTAATAGAAATGAATATATAGTATAAGATAGATTTCTGAACCATTTGACAGTAAGTTTCAGACATCGTATTCCTTTACCTCTTATCATATGAATAAATATATTCTTTTCTTTTCTTTCTTTTTTTTTTTTTTTTTTTTTGAGACGGAGTTTCGCTCTGTCACCAGGCTGGAGTGCAGTAGCATGATCTCGGTTCACTGCAACCTCTGCCTCCTGGGTTCAAGCAATTCACTGCCTCACCCTACAGAGTAGCTGGGATTATAGGCACCCACCACCACACCCAGTTAATTTTTTGTATTTTTAGTAGAGACGGGGTTTCACCATCTTGGCCAGGCTGATCTTGAACTCCTGACCTCGTGATCCACCCACCTCAGCCACCCAAAGTGCTGGGATAACAGGCGTGAGCCACTGCACCCAGCCAGAATAAATATATTCTTACAAAACTATAGTCCATTTATAGAAATCAGGAAACTTAGCTTTGGTGTGAAACTATAAACTTTATGCAAATGTATTCCAATTTTCCCAATACTGGCATTTATAACTCCCCAGCCCCAGCTCGGAATCCAGGATTATGCCTTGCAGCTGGTTGCCATGTCTTTAGTCTTCTCTAATCTAGAACAGCTCCTCAGCTTTCCTTTGTCTTTCATGACATTGGTGTTTCTGAAAAGAACAGGCCAGTTATTTCTTAGAATGTTCCTCATATTGAATTGTATTATGCTTTCTTATAATTAGATTCAGAGTCTGCATTTGGGGGCAGGAATACCACAGAAGTAATGTGTTTTTCTCACTGCTTTCTATCATTAGGTTTGTTTTTTTAACATCAGTTTTTGGGTCTTCTTTGTGATGCGAACTTTGATGACTTGGCTAAGGTGTTATCCACCAAGTTTATTCACTGTAAGATAACTTTGCTTTACCTTTATAATTAATAGAGGCTATGTGAGAAGATACTTTGGAATGATACAAATTCTTGTTCATCAAATTTTCACCCACTAGTTTGAGTATCCATTGATATTCTTTTTTAAAATAATTTTTATTGTGGTAAAATACGTAAAATTTACCATCTTAATCATTTTTATGTGTACAGTTCAGTGGTATTACATACATTTATAATATTGGGCAACCATCATCACCTTCCACCTCCATAACTTCTTTCATTTTTTAAGACAAACTCTATAAATTTACTAAACAATAATTCCATATTCTACCTTTCCTCCAGTCCCTGGAAACCACCATTTTTTCTATCTCTATGAATTTGACTAAAGTACCTCACTTAAGGGGAATCATACAGTATGTCTTTTTGTGACTGGCTTATTTCATTTAGCATAATGTTCATCTATGTTGTAGCATATATCAAAAATTCCTTCCTTTCTAAAGCTGAATAATATTCCATTGTATGGATGTACCACATTTTGCTTATCCATTCATCTATTGATGGACACTTTGGTTGCTTTCACATTTTGGCTACTGTGAATAACGTTGCCATGAACCCAGGTGTACGAATATCTGAGACCCTGATTTCAATTACTTTGTGTATAAATCCAGAAGTGGAATTGCTGGATCATATGCTAGTTCTATTTTTACTTCTTTGTGGAACCGTTCTACTATTTTTCCACAGTGACTGTGTCATTTTGTATTCCCACCAACAGTGGACAGGTGTTCCAGTTTCTCCACATCCTTACCAACACTTATTTTCTGTTTGTTTGTTTGTTGATTGTAGCCATCCTAATGGGTATAAGGTGAAATTTCATTATAGTTCTGATCAGTGATGTTCAGCATCTTTTCATTTACTTGTTGGCCATTTGTAGATCTTCTTTGGATAAATGTTTATTCAAGTCCTTTGCCCATTTCTGAATTGGGTTTTATAGTTGTTGAGTTTTAGGAGTTCTGTATTACACTTGATCTAATAGTCACTGATGACTCATTGCAACATTTACATAAAAACCAGAAGGAAAGAGAAATAAGGGGAGATGGAAAGCCCTTTAATTTTTAATTTTTGATTTTAATTTTGTACATAGTAGATCTACATATTTATGGGGTACATGAGATACTTTGATGTAGGCATGCAATGTGTAATAATTACATGATAGAAAATGTGGTATTCATCTCCTCAAGCATTTATCCTTTGTGTTACAAATGACTCAATTATACTTTTTTAGTTATTTTTAAATGTACGATTTAATTATTATTGACTCTGGTTACTCTGTTGTGTTATCCAACACTATATCTTATTCATTCTTTCTATTTTTTGTACCTATTGGCCATCCCCACTTTCCTCCTACTCCCTACTACCCTTCCCAGCCTCTGATACCATCCTTCTACTCTATCTCTATGAGTTCAATTGTTTTGATTTTTAGCTCCCACAAATAAGTGAGAACATGTGAAGTTTGTCTTTCTGTGACTGACTTATTTCACTTAACATAATGACCTCCAGCTCCATCCGTCCATGTTGTTGCAAATGACAGGATCTCATTCTTTTTTATGGCTAAATAGCACTCCAGTGTGTATATGACCACAGTTTCTTTTCCATTCATCTGTTCATGGACACTTAGGTTGCTTCCAAATGTTGGTTGTTGTGAATAATGTTGCAAAAAACATAGGTGTGCAGATATCTGTTTTATATACTGACTTCCTTTCTTTTGTGTATATACCCAGCAGTGGGATTGCTGGGTCATATGGTAGCTCTATTCTTAATTTTTGGGGGAACCTTCAAACTGTTCTGTATAACCGTAGTGGTTGTACTAATTTCCACTGATGATTCTTAACTGGATCAGTTATTGTGCTGATTACAAGATGGCCAATCATATTTATTAGATGACATTCTTCTGTCAGGAAGAACTTTTCCGTATCTTCCATTTGTTTGTTTGTTGACTATCAATTTGGACTCATAGATTTTAATGGTATTTAATGTGTTATAGCCCATTATGGCTGTTATTTCTTTTGATGCTCGAGTTTTACCAGAGCGATCTGCTTAACCCAACATTTCCTTAACTTGCTTCCCTACAAAATGTTTTTCCTTGGGGATACCCACTGGTATCCTGTTGAGAGTGTTTAATGGAGTGCACCGTGGTAATCCTGCTGCCACACCTTGAGAGTGGTACAGCCATTCTCTATAGCAATCCACTTGTGGCTGGAGTGGTATGGAAAGCCTTTATGAAGAAATTGTTTGAAGTCTTCTGATAAGGCAAAATGCAGGTGGAAGAGGAATAGTGTAGTCAAAGGCACAGGAGTTAGAAGATATAAAATGTATTTTTAGTGCAGTAAGATGACCAGCTTGGCAGGGAAGTAGAAGGGAGAAAGGCTGAAAATGAAGATTGGGAATATATTGAAAAGGGCCTTGAAAGACAACCTAAGGAACTTGGATGTTACCTTGAATATGTGGGTGGTCATGAAAGGCATTGAGCAGGGAACTGATGTGATGTGATAAAAGCAGAACTGCAGTACAGGAGAAACGAACAATGTGGTAGTAAACTAAGAGGCTCTTACTGTCGTCTACAAGAAAGGTGATAAAGATTGCTATTTTGCACATTTATGATTTCTTCTATGATTTGTAACCAGGATATTGAGTAAGCTGGACTTATGTTAATTTCATCTACTTTCCTTTAAACTTTATTCAAAGGACAAATTCTGGAAGTTTCATGAACTTTTTATTACTCTTAGTCAACAAAGAATCCTATGGTTATTTTTAAGTTTCCAAACAGTCTCAATTCAGGATGGTGTGGTGAGGATAGCAAGAAAGCTCTCCTTTAATTGGTACTGTTGTAAGGTGGCTTCCAGCTTTCTGAGTCTTTTAGGTGTTTGGAGCTGACTCATTCTTCTTGTGATGGCTTTCAAGGATCTTCAAGGGCCACCACAGAGAATATTTGCATGCATGTGTCATGACACGAGTGATGCACTTTTCTCAGGTTGCTGTTCTCCATCAGCCTCCAGTTTGGGGAAGTCCACTCCACACAGTCTCTCTTTATTGAAGGCTCCATCCTGTATTTTGGGAAATGATTTAAAGACCTCCAAGCGAACTCTTTTTATCTTGTGAATGGCTTGCATTACATCCATAGCCAACACTTCTGCATCCTTTGCTCTGCCAAGCTCTGGGAGTATGTACCAACCCCAGCACAGCCACATCTCCAACTTAAGTTTAAAGAGGAGTTTAAACTTGTCATTGTCAGTACTGATTTCTTGTTAAGCCTATCTCTTCCCCTATGCTGCAAAGGTGGCATGTTAGATTTCTTTGTAGCACAAAGTAAGCCCCCTCACTAAGTTTGAGGTGGGAGGCAAATACTCCTCCCCTTCTCCTTTAGGAAGGTGTGGGTAGTATAGTTCCGTCTAACAAAAACCTCATAACGAATTCTCTGTCTTTATTATTTCAATAATCCACATCCTTTTAAGCTTTGGTAATGTGTGAGAAGTACTGAAACGGGTTTTCGTAGATTTCCTTTGACAATTCACAGTGGAAACTGACATCGCACTTTCTAGACCACTTTTTCCACCTTATTGAACCTAGTGAGGGATCTTTGGTTTGAGATTTCTCTTCCATTTCTGATATGTGTTAGTGTTGACTAATACCCATCACATGCAATGCTCTGCTCTGAGCACAGGCCAACAGACTGGCTTTCCACAGTCACACGCAGGGTCTGAGAGTGTATACTCAAAGAGGCAAAGTCCAAGATCTGCATGCCATGCTCTCAGAGGCCCCAGGAATTCACAGGTGTGATCTAGCCGTTGAAATGAGATGACAGGTTTGATTTGAAGGGGACTTTGCTTTGGTCGAACCAATGTGGAAGGTGCAATGCCTGCATGTTCTGTAGTGGGTCCCAAGGTGAGCACTGAGGTACAATTTTAGAATTTAAGGATTTGAGCATATACATAGTCTGGCTGTAGTTTATAGGTTCATTCTTAAGGAATTGTGAATAAAAATACCTACGTTTTCATGATCTATTTAGCACATTGTATTAGGCCTTTCATGCTTTGCTATAAAGAAACACCCGAGGCTGGGTCATTTATAAGAAAAGAGATTTGATTGGCTCACAGTTCTGCAGGCTGTACAAGCATGACACCGGCATGTGCTCGGCTTCTGGGGAGGCCTCAGGGAGTTTTTACTCATGGCAGAAGGCAAAGTGGGAGCAGGCACATCACATGGCCAGAGTAAGAGCAAGAGAGAGAGAGAAGGAGGCGATGCCACGCACTTTTAAATATCTCATGAGAACTAATTCACGACTAAGGGGGTAGCACTAAGCCATTCATGAGAAATCTGCCCCCGTGATCATACTGCTTCCCACTAGGCCCCACTTTCAACACTGGGGATTACAATTAAACATGAGCTTTAGAGGGGCAACGTCCAAACTATATCACATTTCCCACTAACTCTACAAATTCTTGAGTGAGACACTGAAGGAAGAAATTGCAGAAGGATGACTAAGTATACCTATGATATATTTTTCTTTCATTTCTTTTAATAGGTGGTGGAGAAAAATGCAGATCCAGAGACAACCCTTTTGGCCTACCTGAGAAGAAGGTGTATCCTGACTTTGGAGTGGGAGTGATGGAGAAGGGGGGCAATGGTGACCAATTCTCTGGGCCTTACATTGTTTCCTAGTGACTGGTGGGGTGGCCATGAGGTGTGGAGGAAAGAGCGCTGGATTAGGACTTGGGATACCTGCATTTTAGTTGCCCCTGTAATCTGAGATTCTCAGCTACTGAATGAGAGGATTGTTTGTGGTGATCTTTGAGGTGTCTCCCAGCTAAGACTCTAGTAATGCCAAGGTTTAATCCAGGGCCTGTAGAAAGGCCCTCATTAGCCTTGGTGAGCTTCATGGTCATTCCTCTGTGGGAAGAGGGGGCCTTCCTTAGGTGACATTTGCTTAATACATAAATGCAGTTCCTGGGGAATGTTTCCAGCTCTGCCTAGGTGGAGGGAAGCAAGGGAAGTTATGTCTATTGGGAAAAGGATGCTTGAGGTAGGAATCCTATACAGGTAGCATTCATTGTAGAAACAGCAAACAGGGAGCCCTGGAGGGCGGGGGAACTCTTTAGAGAGACTGGGGTGCTGCTCCTCACTCAGTGTCGGGGAGCTTCTGGAAGAGCCCCTAAATCTTTAGTTCTGAGTATCAGAAGTATTCTGAGACCCTGGAACTAAAACAATAATAATAATTAGAGTTAACATTTAATGAGCACTTCCTATATACAGGCAGGATTCAAAGTGATTTGTGCAGCTCACCTCAATCTCCACAGGAATCCCATGGAAGCATAACACTCCCTTTCCACAGAGGAGGAACTGAGGCCTTGATATGTGAAGTGACCTGCCTTTTGCTAGTGTGTTCTGGGGAAATAGTGATGGAGACTGCACCAAAGCCTAGAGCTAGAGGTTCCCAACCTCTCACCCACACTGGCAGCGCTCCAGGGGGCCTGTCGGCAGGACTGTGCTCATCCTGACCTCTGTCAACAAAACCCTCCTTCTCCCAGGGCGGGTGTCTAGTGGATCTTTCCAGTGACATATATGGGGACAGCAAGGATTATTTCAACCCCCACAGAAGTGAGTCTGGAGCCCATGATTTCACTCTGGTTTGCTCCCCTCCTTTCATACAGTACAGTGGTTGGCTTTGGTGTACTTTGTTCTGGAATTTTTACCTTAAGTGGGTGTATCTGGAAGTTCACAGAAGATAAACCTGGGGGTGTTGGGGAGTGAAAGTGTCACTGGATCGGATCAGGTGCTTGCATGGAACTCCATTTACAGCCCATCTACCTGGGAGGTCTGGGAAGAGAAGCTCATTCTCAGAGATTATTGAGATCAATTTTAGCTTTCTAATAATAAAACTAATTTTAGTTTTTAAATCATTTCCATTGTAGTTTTGAAGGCCCAGAAGCCTCAGAAATTCCTTATCACAGCAATTGGCTGTGTCACATCTTAAATGAAATGCAAAATTGAAAGCTGGCACATAAATAGGATGACCTTGCAGCTTATGGCTGTCTGTGCTCAGAGACAATTTACGGGCGTTCCAGATTGGGGAGAAAACTCCAGCCTTGACTTTTACCCTAGCTTCCAGAGAGGTCTCCAGGCTGGGAGAAGACCTTACTAGACTTTAGACTGCCACCATTCATCTTCAGGTGCCCCCAGAGTTGTATGACCCGCTGAGAGCTGTGTATACCCTGACTAGGACACAGCAAACCTTCACAGATGTGCTGGGGAGGAAGGAGCGTGATGAAGGGAGCTCACCCAGTCTGGAGTCAGATGGCTGTGATGCGGCCACAACGGCAGGGCAACATGAGTTCCTGTGTCATCTTGTGTGACCCACGTTACGTCTTGGGTCTCAGTTTGTTCTTTTTCAAATCTATGAGGAAGTTTCTTTCCTACCTGCTAACCAAATCATTTTGAAGTTCAAACAGGTATCTAGGTGTAAGTGCTCTTCCAAAATAAGATGTTATATCATTGTTTTTAAATTTTGTCTTGAAAATGAGAGAAGTGACCAGGCGATAATCCCCTCAGTTCCCTCCATCTTCAGTAGGTGGTGGGTGGCTTAGAGGCCTGCAGGTCTGAGGGAGAAGCCGCAATGTGACTCAGGGAAAGTGACCTCCGCAATAGCTGTTCTCTAGAATAGCTCACTAGTTAGGCACTTTTTAAAACTCAAAGTAGCCGATGATCTTTCTGCAAGTATATATAAGAGTGTGGCCCAGTATTGGACGCTGACCTAAAAACAAACCACTCTATTTTAATTTCCATTCACGTATCTTGTGGGCCAAATATTCAAAAGCCTCTGGTCTAGCCCTAATTTTGATTCTTGGGGATTTATCAGCCCAAAAGTTCAGAGTGAAAAGCGAGGACTCAGAGGTCCCAGAACAGATCAATGTCTCATTCTGACCCAAGCGGCTTCATGGTGTGCCCAGCTGGGAGTGATGTGAGAACTGCCCCGTATGCTCAGGTGTATGATTTACCTGCTCACACATAGAAGACCTCAACCCAAGAGAAGGCTCTAGGACTGACCGGTCCTAGAACTCATGTCCCAAGAGATACTACTTGGGTGCTGTCCATGGGGTCCTGATGCCTTTGCTCTTCTGTGCACTGGAGATGGCCCTGTTCCCTGCCTCCCTGGGGTGCAGTGCAGTCTTTCTGAATAAGGAGGCCAGTGGGCCTGCTGTCTTCCTGGGTTAAGGGGCCTGAGCACATGTGGGAATGAATGGCTCTGCCCACGGCTCTGCCTATGCATTTCCTAGCAACCCAGCAGACTCCTCTCCCTGAGTTCATTCTCCTTAACTCTTGACCACCCAGTGGGGCTGAGTGGAACCAAGCTCGGCTGTGGAGAGGGAGGCTGTGGGGCTTGCACAGTGATGCTCTCCAAGTATGATCGTCTGCAGAACAAGATCGTGTATCCTTTGCCTGCTGGCACCATCCACGTGGGGGCTGTGATGCAGGACCAACTTGTGAGGGAGTGCATGAGTGTATGTGTGTGCATGTGCATGTGTGTGAGCCCCTTTTTTCAAGGAGAATCTGTGCACAGGAAAACTGTAGAATGATCTCTTAGCAAGTATGTTCTAGGCTTATAATATTGACCAGGCTCCGAACCGCTGATAAAATGACTTTTCTAAAATCCAGGTTTATATCACATTCCATAAAACCCGTCAATAACTCTTCATTGCCCCCAGGACAAAATCTCTTTGCTTAGTGGGCAAGGCCCTGCACAGTAGGCCCCACATTTCTTCTCCAGTTTTCTTTCTCACCATGGGCCCAGCACTCCATTCAAGCAGAGATAATTGTGAAATATCAATGACACAGGCCCACTAATTGCTTGGTCTTTGTTTAAGCTGGGACATTCTTCTAGGATTTCCCTACCTGGCTAACTCTTACTAGCTCTTTAGAACTGGATGAAAATATCACCACCTCCAGGAAGCCATCCTGGATCTCTCAGGACCGGGTTAGGTGCCCCTTGACTGTGCTGGTCCCATAGTGCCCTGTGCACAGCCTTCCCAGGTAAACTGAGGCATGATACAATTTTTTTTTTTACAGTTTGAGAAAACAACAGTTCACGAGTTCAAGCAGCTCCAAATTAGAAGCAGTTTAGGTGCTCCACCAGGGAAATGCAAGCAGGAGGTTTTTGTAGGATGGACACAGGCAAAAAGCAAAGAAGTTATTTGACTGGTTACAATTATACAATTGCTTTATTTGGTCTATCCCATTGGAAAGTCCCTAGTTCTATAATTACAAGTTCATTGACTACTTCTGATTGGTTGATCTGAAGGCTTATTTTTTAAAATAAAGATGTTCATAAGAAGTAACTCAAGTTAAAACTCTCCCGCAAATCAAGCAGAGTTTAGGTCACTTATAAGGCCTAACTGGTTTTGTCTGCTGAGTGTTCAGGCCTGCTCTCCTTTTAAATTTACTTTAACAAGATTTAAATTGCACCTTCACATGGGCTTCAGTTTTCCGGGTTGACTGCAGGCTGTTGAAGGGCAGAGCTTTCATCTTATTCATCTTTATTTCCCCAGCCCTCAGCAGGGTGCCTGACATGTTTGGCACTCAACAACTGAATGAGTGATGAATAACAGAAGAATGCAAGGAAGTCCTAGCTAAGGGCTTGGTGTCTCATGTTGCCAGAAGGTTCCCTCTCCCTTTCCCCACAGAGGAATGAAAGCAATAGAGGTGAGGAAATGCAGGGAAGCGAAGTGATTGGAGGTTCTGGCACCGAGGCTAGGGAAGAGCCTTGCAGGCAGAAGCGTGCTTCAAGGCTGCAGCCTGCCAGAGAAACTTCCCCTTGACTCAGCCTCCAGGGTCAGGCTGAGTAACAGGCAACTGAAAGTGCCCCTGGTTCCCTTGCTCCTGCTCAGAGGCTGAGGGTGCTCTGATGCCTGATCCCACAGGATTCTGGAAGGGCTCAGCTTTACCTACAAGAAGGGCTTCCTTTGTTCCTTGCCCAGAGTCTTCAGTGGAGAGGTGAGGACACTGGTAGAAGATACAGGAACATAAATGGGAGCGGAGAGACATAACATACAGCCTCACAAAGTCCTCCAGAGCCCACAGTCAGGCCCATTCTGATGACCTGAGTGGACAATAAATGGAATGACCTTAATCTGGGGTTCTAGCCACTTTTCTGCCAATGCCTGCCTGGCCCCCATCTGCTCCTTGCACCATGTTGCAGTGACAACTGTGGAAGGAATAGGAAGCACCAAGACGAGGCTGCATCCTGTGCAGGTAAACAGAGGAAAGGGAGCTGTGCTCTTGAGATCATGCTGTTTCCTCTGCAGGGAGGCTCATGCCAAAGGTGCAGACTTGCTTTGGGTTGTTGGGCAGAGTTTCACTGCTTAATCTAAGGAGGCAATTGCACCCTGGCCACCTCCCCATCTCCTGTGGGTACCACGAGGTGAAAAGAAGAAACGCCCAAGGCTGAATCTCCTTCCTGTGAGCTGGTTGGTTATAACATTGCATGATCTCAAGGGACCCAAGAGGTCAACTGAATCTGGTGGCTAGGCCAGTCCAGCTGCACCAGAATTTGGAGGAAGAGATGCAGGGAAGCTTCCTCACTTTGTTCTGGAGTGTGTTTAGGAAACTCCCAGCCTTCCCAGATTTGAATTTTGATTATCTGTGCCCCCTGTTTATAAGCCCACCTACTCCCTGCAATGGTAATTCCGCACCCCTTACCTCCCACCCACAGATAGTACAAATGTAAACTGCTAGGCCTTCACCTTCATTAGAATGGAGGTTAGCAAGTGCTAAATAAGATGACAGAGATTTAGTGCCTGAGCAAGGCTTTCTCCTTGATGGTGTCAGGCCACCTGAAAATGCATTGAAATCCGAAACACTTCTGGGGCGAGTGGGCAGTGATAATCTGAGAGGGGTTTGGGGAGAAAATCAGGATGCTTTTAGGCCAAGTGGAAAGAAAGGGGAGTAGAGCCCTGTTGGAAGGAACGGCCATTGTCCCCAAAGCATTTTGTTTGAGGAAACTTGAGGTCTTTGGGAGATTATAATAAATGTTACCAGAGCTTGACCCAGGTCTTAATCCTCCTTTGATTATTTGAGGAGACATGTCGTTCAGGTGATGGAGTAGGAGCCTCCTGCAGAGTGGCTGGTTCTATTCCTTGGAATGGCATCTTGGGCCAGTCATGTGAGGTCAGACAGGTCGCGGTGATATTGCTTTCCATCTGTAGATTTGTTTCTTAGGCAGGAAGAGGGGAAATTACTAAACTTGTCCAACCTGAAGGAGATGTGAGAGGGTTAATTAAGACTTGTTATTTTCTTTGAAACAAATAGATGAAAGAAAGAATAAATAGTTTAAATACAGGAGTCAAGTATTAGTCCATTCACACACTGCTGATAAAGACATACCAAGACTGGGTAATTTATAAAGAAAAAGAAGTTTAATGGACTCAGTCCTAAGTGGCTGGGGAAGCCTCACAATCATGACAGAAGGTGAAAAGCACATCTTACGTGGTGGCAGATGAGAGAAATGAGACCTAAGTGAAAACAGAAACCCATCAGATCTCGCGAGATTTTATTCACTACCATGAGAACAGGATGGGGGACTCACCCCATGATTCAGTTATCTCCCACAGGGTCCCTCGCACAACACGTGGGAATTATGGGAGCTATAATTCAAGATGAGATTTGGGTGGGGACACAGCCAAATCATATCAGGTCATATCTGTATAATCAACCTAAAATCCTCCCTGTCCAATGGTACAGGTTCTTATTCCTAATGCACTTATTTTGGTTACATATAGGCTACAGAGCCAGATTCCACTTCTTGTCCATTTATTTGTTTTCTCTTGGTTTCTGTGACACTGTGGTTCTGACTTTTTCTTCTCTCTCCACACTAGCTCCTCTTCTGCTCAGTCTCTAATTGCTGCAGTGCCCTGAGCCCTGACCTAGGCTCCTCCCCTTCCTCATCCCTACACTCTCCCTACATGAGTTTGATGTTGTCCACATGCCATTGGCACTTACATTTACAACTTCAGCTTTGACCTCTCCTCAGAAGTTAGACTTACATTTCCAATTGCCTACTTGACATCTCAATACGGATGTCTAATCTCAAACTTAAGAAAATCCTACTTTTCTCCTAATGGTTTCCTTCCCCAGTTTTCTCCCATCTAAATCAATGGCAAAGCCATCCACCCAATTGCTTAAGACAAAAATCTAGACATCACCTTTGACTGTTTCTCTCATATGCCACACCCAATCCGTTCAGAAGCTGCCTTCTGGTTATGATAGTCACTGTTCTTGGAAAAGACCTTCCTAGTCATAGCTAACATTGGCTGACTGCCTGCTATATGCAGGTACAGTGTTAAGGGTTTTACATGAATTATCTCAGTTAATCCTCATCACAGCTCTAGAGGCAACTACAAGGATGGTCCTCATGATACAGATGAAGAACCTGTGACTCAGAGGGCTTGGAACCTGGCCAAGGTCACAGTTGGTAAATGGTGGCACTGGGGCTTGACTTTTGCAGTGACTGCTACCCCCCACGGTCTCTCAACATGGGCTGGCTCCAGTCAAGTCCTTTGGGGAGCCAGGGAGGGTTCTGCTATCCCAGGTGTCTATGTCATCTGTTCCTTTTAGGAGAGAATTGCCAAAAGCCACGGCTCCCAGTGCGGGTTCTGCACCCCCGGCATCGTCATGAGTATGTACACACTGCTCCGGAATCAGCCTGAGCCCACCATCGAGGAGATTGAGAATGCCTTCCAAGGTACGGGCCTTCAGGCACAGCCTAGGAGGTGGAATGGCAAACGAGGCCCTGAAGAGGTGAGGGCAAGTGCCAGGGCAAGGAACATGAGGGACTACCCTTTGGAGGAAGGGCTCAGGCCCCCCACCCCCCGACAATGCAGTGACTAAGATCTGCTAGAAAGCCAACCCTCTCTTAGTTGGAAGAACTCCTGGTTGGTGTGGAGACCACCTGAGGTCTCCTGCCTTTGGGTTCACCTTCCTGAGGTGTCTGTCTGCCTTCCACCAGTATTGGAGTGGGGTTGGCAGTGTGTGGCTGGTGCAGGAAAACTCCACAGGGGCTAGTGATATGATTTCCTTCCCTCTCAGATTTCACCAGAACAGGATTCTGCAGGGCAAAGACCACCTATGTGTCTGTTTCTCTGAATTAAATAGAGAAGCCTCCCCATCTATTCACCATTTCTATCCATCATCTATTCAGTTATTTTGAATCACATCCTATGCCACAGGGATAAAAGATACAGCCTCTACTCTCAAAAAGTTCATACTCTGAAGAAGAGACTTTATAATGTAGTCTGATAGGCTAACTGATGAAGCTATGATCAGCCACTGTGGGAGCACTTAGGAGAGGCACCTGACTCAGTCTGGGCATTCTAGGAAGGCTCCCATTCTAGGAAAGACTTATTGAAGTCATGACAGATGTTCTGAAGTCAGGATAGGAGAAGGCCAAGAGGCCTTCTAGACAGAGGTAACAATATGCAGCCTGGTAAAGAGAGCACCCAACTTAGCTGCAAGCAAAGTCACAAACTCCTCACCCATCCCAGGGACTTGCACTAACATTGCAGTTTTCTCCTTGGCCCACAGGAAATCTGTGCCGCTGCACAGGCTACAGACCCATCCTCCAGGGCTTCCGGACCTTTGCCAGGGTAAGTGGGGACCCCAGAACATCAGTGTCTCTGCTCCTAAAACAGCAACGCTCAGAAATCACTGTTGGGAGGGAAACCAAGGGCCTCTGGTCTACAAACAAGAATGATAAGATGACCAGTTAGTGAGTCTTCCCTCTGGGGACATCTGGCATGGGGAGTAGAGTCTGCTATTTTTATTCAGGGAAGGGTTCTTATGAATAGCATGGGAATTTCTGCCAGTGATGGTCTGGAGACCGGCTTTGAAAGAGGCTCACCACCTAAGAGTTAGCTTCCTCTAGTGCCTTTGGGTCTGGCAGCTTTCCCTTGGAGACTGGCAGGCTCAGCCCATGGCACAGGTGCTGAATGTAGCATTTAATAACAACCTGGCCTTGCTCAGCACTTGCACCCCTCCTCCTTTGCTCTCCTGGCTGCTTTCTGTGGCTGGCACTCTGTTGGGCTTATGAAACTGGTAATTTGATCTCCAGACAGTTTTGTGAACCCCTGCAGTGTTCATATAACTCTGAGTGAGAAGTCACAGCTGGGTGTGTGGGCATTGATTATATAAACACATACACACACCTGCCATCTGGCAAGGAAGGCAAGAGAGCTGGCATCTCCTTTCTTGGCTTAATCTTCCCCCAGGTTGTATCTGACTTCTCAATTGGGCCAAGTTAATCCTGACTCCAAATCAAACCATCTCATTTCGATTTGATCCTGGGTCCAGGGGAGTTACAGACTCCTATGCTTTCCACTCACCTTTAGGGTTGGCACGTCATGAAAGAGTGCTGTGTGCATATAATCCAAGAAGGGGTGGGTAGACATGGAGACAGGACCTTATAAGGATGGAAAACACCACACTCTGATTAATGCTGCTGCTGATGAAGAATTAGCAAGTGTGGAATTAAATGAAAATGCCTAAAAGCACAAATTCAGATTCTGCAGACCTGGGTTCAATTTGATGCACTTAATTAATGTCCGACCTTGGGCAAGTCTCCTTGTTTCTATCAGGTTGGTGCAAAAGTAACTGTGGTTTTGCCATTAAAAGTATGGAAAAAACTGTAATTTTTTTGCATCAACCTAATAAAATGGTGATTTCATTAGGTGATTTCATTAGAATATCTACCTTACTGTGTTTATAAAAACTAGGTACTTCTTGAAAAGCTTTTAGAACAATGCCTGGCACATTTCGGTTATTCAATAAATGGGAACTATAAATTATAATGCTGGTACATTTCTTCCATTAGCCGCTATATAATCTTCCCAAGTTACTCAGTGTTTCCTGAGAATCAGGGATTGTTAATCTTGCCTCTATTTACTTCATTAGAACCTGCTCAAAGTGATAAAATGTAACCAGTCCTCTTAATTTTTCAAAAGAGAAGGATTTTTGAGTATTATCAATTGCCTTCCCTCCTGGAAGTTGAAATGGCTCCTGAATTCACCATGCAGCACTTGCCTCCCTCGATTCAGCTACCTACAGCATAGAGCAGAGCAAGACTGAGAGCTCTGAGCAGCCAAAATGCCTGACACACAAAAGGTGCTCAGAAGCTAATGCATGTTCCTCATCGGAGGTCCCCAAGATGTTTCTTCAGAGCCTTTTTACTTTTATTTTACACACAGCTCTAACAAACTTGGTTATCTAGTTTTCCTGTCCACAGCACGCACTAGAAAGTGTGTGGAGGGTCAGGTAGAGGTGGGCACACTGCTCACAGCAAGAAGTGACCACACCTATCTGGCGACAAGGAAAGAAATGGAGGAACCATTAAACAGGTACAAGCAAGACTTCCAGTTTCCGGTCTGGCATGTAAGCAGCTTAAGAGTCTTTATTTCATCTAAACAAGAAGAAAAAAGCTGAACAAACTGAAGAATCAACAATTGTTTTTAGATCCATCAGAGGAATGAGGTCACAGGACAACTCATTGTCTAAAAAATTGGAGAGACAGACAGGCAGACATGGCACATCAGAGCAGAAACCCAGGAGCAAAAACCTCTGCAGGAATCTTTGCCAGGATAGGAAGATGTAAGTACTAACTGATGAACTGCTGGAGTTTATACCTGGATATAAACTACAGGGGGATGTAGTCATGGAGGGGGTGCTCTACATCTTTGTGAGTTTTACCTCCAGGCGGTCCACCAGGTCCTCACAGTAAATGCTGGAGAAAAATCTCCTTGTGTTTCTGGTAGGGAGTGGGAAAAATGAACCATTTTGGAATATACCAGAGTATTCTGTTCTTCTTAAAAAGGCCTGCCCTCAGGAGAAATTATTTTACCACAGCCTAAACTTCGGAGGTTATATTAGAGCCTAACCTACCTTGGGGAGGGGAAATATGCAACCCCCCGCCCGCTAGTCTTTCACCCGTGGGAAGGGAAATACACAAGCCCAGCCCCCTCCAGCCATCCTCTCCCACCAAATGGAGAAAAAAAAACCCTGAGAAGCACTTGTGAAGTTCACAGGCGAGGGGCACAAGCTCACCAAAAAACTGAGACTAATCCTAGGACTATACGATACTTCACCCTCATATCTTACCAATAAATTAACTAAAGGCCTATTTACATCAGATCCTTTTAGCCAGTACATCATGTCCACCTTTCAACCAAAAATTATAAGGCATAGTCAAAGGCAAAGACAATTTGAAGAGACTGAACAAGTAGCAGAACCAGAGTCAAATAGGGCAGGAATGTTGGAATTAACAAAAGAGGAATTTTATAAAGCTATGCTTAGTATGCTAAGAGCTTTAATGGAAGAAAATAGATAACGTACTAGAACAGATCAATAATCTAGGCAGAGAATGGACATTCTAAGAATTAAAAAGAAATGCTAGAGATTGAAAATACTTATACCAAATTGAAGACCACTTTCGGTGGGCTCATTAGTAGACTGGACATGGCTGAGACAAGAATCTCTGATCTTGAGGATGTAACAATGCAAACTTTCAAAACCAAAAAACAGAGAAAAGGGAGTGAATGAAAACAAAACAGAAACAAATAAGAACTGTGTGATAACTACAAAAGGTGTAACATATGGGTAATGAGAATATCAGAAGAAGAAGAAAAAGAGAAAGGAAAAGCAGCAATATTTGAAACAATAATGACTGAGAATTTCCCAAAATTAACGTCAGACTTTAAACCACAGTCAGGAAATTCAGAGAACACAAACCAGGATAAATACCAAAAAAACCAAAACCAAACAAAAACTACACCAAGGCATGTGATATTCAAACTTCAAAAACTCAAAGGTAAAGAAAAATGACTTGAAAGAAGCCAGAGGAAAACACCCCTCACCTACAGAGGAGCCAAGATAAAATTATATCTGACTTTTCCCAGAAACCATGCAAGCAAGAAGCATGGAGTAAAATACCTAAAGTGTTGAAAGAAAAAACCAAAGCACCTAAAATTCTGTAACCTCCAAAAGTATCCGTCAAAAGCGAGTGAGAAATATTTTCTCAAACAAAACTTGAGAGAATTTGTTGCCAGTAGACCTGTCTTGTAAGAAATATTAAAAGAAGTTCTTTAAAAAGAAGGAAAATGATGTAGGCCAGAAACTCAGATCTACATAAAGGAAGAGCATCAGAGAATGAATAAGTAAAGGTAAAATAAAAATTTTTATTTTTCTTGATCTTAATTGGTCTAACAGATAGCAATTTGTTCAAGATAATCATAGCAACAATGCATTTGTTTATGTGTGCAGATGTATATATATATATGTGCTTGTGTATAAGTAAAATGAATGACAACAATGATAAAACAAACAAGAGGGAAAAATTAGAAATACTTTGTTATTATAAGATACTATCACTACCTGTAAAGTGGCATAGTGTTATTTAAAAGTGGACTTGGATTAGTTAAAAATGTATACTGCAAACTCTAGGGCAACCACCAGAAAAAAAAAGAAAAAAGGAAGTATAATTGATATTTTATGAAAGGAAAGGAGATGAAATTATTTACAATGCTCAGTTAAAACCACAAAAGTCAGAAAATGTGTGAAAGACAAAACTAGAAGCAAAGAACAAGGATGACAAATAGAAAACAATAACAAATATGGTAGATACTAATCCAACTGTATCAATGATTACCTTTAATGTCAGTGATCTAAATATACCATTTAAAAGACAGACATTGTTAGAGTAGATGAAAATAACAAGACCCAACTATATGCTGTCTACAAGAAACCTAGTTTAAATAAAAATACACACATAGATTAAAACTAAGTAGATGAAGAAAGGTAGACCATGATATACTAATCAAAAGAAAGTGGAAGTAGCATATTAATTTTGTACACAGCAAACTTCAGATCAAGAATAGTTACCAGAGAAAAAGAGGGGCCCTAAAAATAATAAAGGAATCAATACTTCAAGAAGACATAACAGTCCTTAATGTGTATGCACCTAACAACAGAGCTTCAAAATACATGAGGAAAATGTGATGGAACTGCACAGACAAATAGATGAATCCATTATTATATGTGAAGACTTCAACACCCTTGTATCAGAAATGGACAGCACCAGGCGAAAAATCAGTAAGGACATAGTTGGACTCAACGGCACCATCAATTAATTGGATATAATGACATTTATAGACTACTTTAGCCAAAAGCAGCAGAGAAGACATTTTTCTCAAGCTCATGTGGAATATTCACCTAGATGGACCACATTCTGTGCTATGAAACACACATTTATAAATTTAATTTGCATGAATAGAGATCATACAATGTCTGCTTTCAAACCAAAATGAAATTTAACTAGACATCAATAACAGAAAGATAGCTGGAAAACCCCCAAATGCTTGAAGATTAAACAACACAATTCAAAAGAACAGAGGTTCAAAAAGATAATCTCAAGAGAAATTTTAAAATATTTTGAATTAAATGAAATTGAAAATATAGCTTATCAAAATTTATAAGATGCAGTGAAAACAATGCTGAGTAGGAAATTTATAATATTGAATGCATATATTAGAAAGGAAGATTAAAAATCAGTAATCCACCAGGCACAGTGGCTCACTCCTGTAATCCCAGCACTTTGGGAGGCTGAGGTGGGCAGACCACGAGGTCAGGAGTTCAAGACCAGCCTGACCAACATGGTGAAACCCCGTTTCTACTAAAAATACAAAAATTAGCCAGGCATGCTGGCATGCACCTGTAATCCTAGCCACTCAGGAGGCTGAGGCAGGAGAATCACTTGAACCCGGGAAGCAGAGGTTGCAGCGAGCCAAGATTGCGCCATTGCATTCCAGCCTGGGTGACAGAGCGAGATTCCATCTCAAATATATAAATAAATAAAGTAATAAAAATAAAATACAAATAAAATCAGTAATCTGGGCTCCCACTTTAGAAAACTAGAAAAAAAAAGACTAATTAAATTCAAAGTAAGCTGAAGAAAAATAAAATTTGGAGCAAAAATCAATTTCATTGAAAACAGACAATCAATAGAGAAAATCAACATAACTGAAATTTGGTTCCTTAAAAAGACCAATAAAATTAATAAGTCTCTGACTAAGTTAACTAAGAAAAAAAAGAGAAGATACAAATTACTAATATCAAAATAAAAAGATATTACTATAGATCTCATGTACATTAAATGGATAATGAAGGAATATTAAGAACAACTCTATGCTCATACACTTGATAACCTAGATGAAATAAAACAATTCCTTGAAAGACGTAAGCTACCAAAACTCATACAAGTAGATAATCTGAATAGGCCTATAACTATTGAAGAAATTGAATCTTAATTAATAACCTTTAACACAGAAAGCACCAGGCCCAGATAGATTCACTGGTAAATCCTATCAAACATTTAAAAAAGAAATTATGTCAATTCTCTACAATCTCTTCCAGAAGATAGAATCAGAGGTAATACAAAAGTTAATCACTTTCCTTTATAACAGCAATGAATAAGTGGAACTTGAAATTCAAAACACATTATCATTTATGTTTTACATTAGTACTCCCCAACAAATGAAATACTTAGGTATGAATCTAAAAAGTATGTACAAGATTTATGTGAGAGAAACTACAAAATTCTGATGAACAAAATCAAAGAACTAAATAAATGGAGAGAGATTTCTTTTTCATGAATAAGGAGACTGAACAAGTCAAGATGTCTGTTGTTCCCAACTTAGACTCAATGCAATCCCAAACAAAATCCCAGTAAATTATTTTTTGGCTATCAACAAATTGATCCTAAGGTTTATATGGAGAAGAAAAAGATCCAGAGTAGCCAACTCAATATTGAAGGAAAATAGAGAACAAAGTCAGAGGACTGACACTATCCAATTTCAAGATTTATTAGAAAACTGCAGTAATCAAGACAGTGTAGTATGGACACAGTCCATACTACAAAAAGAATGGACAAAAGAACGGACAAAGAGATCAATGGAACAGAATAGAGAGCCCAGAAATAGACCAACATAAATAGAGTCAATTGATCTTTCACAAATAAGAAAAGGCAATACAATGGAGCAAAGATGATCTTTTTAACAAACGGAGCTGCAACAACTGGACATTCACATACAAAAAAAAAAAAAATGAATCTAGACACAGACATTATACCCTTCTCAAAATGAATCATAAAACTAAATGTAAAACAATAAAACTCCTAGAAGATAACATAGGAGAAACCCTAGATGACCTTGGAATGATGACGACTTTTTAGATGCAACACCAAAGGCATGATCCATAAAAGAAATAATTATAAGCTGGGACTTCATTAAAATTTAATAACAGAAGAGTGAGGAGTCAAGCCATACACTGGGAGAAAAATATTTGCAAAAGACACATCTTGTAAAGTACTTATCCAAATATACAAAGAACTGATAAAACTCAGCAATAAGAAAATGAACAACTAAATTAAAAAATGGGTAAAAGACCTGCACAGCTAACTCACCAAAGAAGATATATGGATGGCCAGTAAGCATGTAAGTTCAACATCACATGTCATTAGGGAATTGCAAATTGAAAGAGCAGTGAAATACCACCACACGTCTATTAGAATGGTCAAATCCAAAACACCGACAACATCAGATTCTGGTGAGGATGTGGGGCAACATGAACTCTCATTCATTGCTGGTGAGCATGCAAATTGCACAACCACTGTGGAAGACAATTTGGCAGTTTCTTACAAAACTAAACATGTTTTACCATGCACCTCAGTGATCACACACCTTGGAATTGACGTAAATGAATTTAAAACTTATTGCCACATGAAAACCTGCACAGGAACGCTTACAACAACCTTACTCATAATTGCCAAAACTTAGATGCAACCAAGATGTCCTTCAGTAGGTGAATAAACTGTAGAACGTCCAAACAATGGAATGTTAATTCAGTACCAAAATGAAAGGAGCTATTGAGCTACGAAAAGACATAGACAAACCTTAACTGCTACTACTAAGTGAAAGAAGTCAATCTTAAAAAGCTACACATCGTATGATATCAATTCTATGAAATTCTAGAAAAGACAAAACTATGGAGGCAGTAAAAAGACTAGTGGTTGCCAGAGATTAGGGGAAAGAGATGGATGAATAGTCAGGGCACAGAGGTTTTTTAGGGCAGTACAACTCTATTCTGTAAGATATCATAAGGGTGGACACATGTAATCACGCATTTGTCAAAACCAATGGAATGTACAACGCCAAGAGTGAACCTTCATATAAATTATGGGCTTTGGGTGATAATGATGGGTCAATGTGGGTCCATCAATTGTAACAAATGTACCATTTTTGAGGATGCTGAAGTGAGGCAGGTTGTGCATATATGTTGGGATAGGGGATATTTGGGAATTCTCTATATGTTCCACTCAGTTTTTTCTGTGAACCTTAAACCACTCTTAAAAAATAAAGCTTTTTTTTTTTTTTTTTTTTTTTTTTTTTTAAAGGCACCAGAGCAGAAGTCTTAGCCTATTTAGTAAACTAGGAATCTCAAGAGGGTGGGGATGAGAAAATGTAGTCTTATCCAACCTCAATAGACCTGGAGGGCAGTGACGCATCACTGCACATCACAGTAATTTATGTCATTAACACACCAATGAATTATCAAGAAAATAGACCTAAGTAATAATGCGCCGGCACTTTGTCTGGAAAAGGCGCTTCTGTGAAATACGGCCTTCCTCAGGAGGGCCAGGTGAGTGGGGTTCAGGACTTTCACTTCAGGCAGGGCGGGGCATTTCCATGCCTCACTCCTCCAAGAAGAAACATGAGAAGAGGCACTAAGAAACCTCTCTTTCTTCCTTTCTTTCTGTCTAAATAAAGAGGGGAAGTACAAGGTGGCTGGCTGGGGGGAGGCTCAGAATGGACAGAGCAGGTCTGGCGTCCAGTGCCGGAGCTGGGAATGCAGGAAGAGTCTGTACACGGAGCAGCATGTGCAGGTGGTGGGGTGAGTGGGGCGTTTCTCTCCTGATGCCACCGCCTGCCTGCTTACAACTCCTCCAAGGTCACACCTCCAGCGTCCCGTGAGCGCTTTCTTGGGGAAGCCATTGAGTTGTGAAACAGCCTCTGGGAAACGCCAACACGGTATGGTGTCTCCTGTGGCTGACATGCAGAAGGACTGCTCCCGGCCTGCTTTTTCAGGAATTGACTACCCCAGTGCCTGGGGCAGAGCCTATGAGTTTTCCCTACTTTTTCATCTCAGCACAACTCCAGGACTCTGTCTTCTGAAGCCCTGAGCTGCAGATCGGTCAGCTGAGCACGCCCCTCCACCACCCTGCAATGCCTCAGTGCTGGGAGGTAGTGATTCTAGACTCTGTGTGTGCTCTGCCACTGGTATCCCAAGAGATCCTGAACAAGTCTTTCCCCAGAGATGCTGGGTGGTCTGACCTGCATACTTCCTCCAGAACAGACCCACAGCCAGCAATGAAGAGTGTTTACCTTTCTGGGAAGAAGTGCCTAATAAGCAGTAGGGAGGCCATTGGGCACACTGGCTGGACACAGTGCCGGGCCCAGCACCCATCTTGGACATCCTTGGCAGGGTCCCGCAGAGAGTCCAGCCTGGGAGACACCAGCCACGCCCCATGGAACCTCACTGGTCTGGAAGTTGAGCCTCTTGAGTCTTGAGAGAGCCAATGGGAATATCCCTCATAGACACTTCCTGAGGAAGCAGCACTGAAGAAGAGAAATGGGCATAAGGGATAGGTTTTGATAAAGTAGGACCTAGTTTTTATGGATAAAATTTCCTGAAATTCAGTGACCTTGTTGCTCCTATTTGTTTAATCTACGTTAGCCAAGCAAGAGGGAATGTAGCTGAGGCCTCCACTCCGCACGACAGGCAGGTAGGATGCCCCTGCTATTCATGCTGGGACAGGCATCAGAGCTGGAGTGTTTTCGATATTAATAATCTAGGTTCCTTAGCTTCTGTGAATACTCTTTGTAAATACCCTTGTGCAGATAGATGTTCATCATCTCTCTAGGGTGGTGGATGCTGTGAAGGAGATGGGAACAATCCAAACTGCTGCATGAGCCAGAAGAAAGACCACTCGGTAAGTGAGTTCTTCTCCCCCTGGAAGCCTGGGGGTAATCTGAGACTTAGAGGAGTCGGTGCACAAGCTCCATGTCCCTGGGAGTGGGGGCTGGAAAAGGAACCTACGGTGAGTCAGCGATGGCAGACTCACCGTAGACAAGTCTACGTAGACTACTACGTAGTCTGCCCTCGTAGATGGCGATGGTGATGGTGCACATTAGCCCCACCTCCTCTAACTGAGACCCTCTCATTCCTGCCTCCCAGGGATTACCTGCTCCTCTTGCACCCTGCAGGGGGCTGGGCATGAGCTGGCTGGAAGGAAAGGCTGAATTGGTCCTCTTGGGTGTTTGAAAGGAGGGGATACTGCCCCATCTACTGTTCTCTTTCCCCGTAGGTCAGTCTCTCACCATCTTTATTCAAGCCAGAGGAGTTCACGCCCCTGGATCCCACCCAGGAGCCCATTTTTCCCCCAGAGTTGCTGGTAGGTGATGCCTCAGGGACAGGCCCAGCCGAGTCTGTACTGTTAGTCCCTGGAGACCTGCTTTATTTTCATACCCACTGGGAACTTTGTGTCTTTCTTGTCCTTTAGGTTTCAGCTTAAATTTCCCTTCCACTTTCTGACACCCCCTAGGTTGAGTCTCTGCTATGTGTGCCCACAGTCCCTGCACTTCTGTTCATGTGTGTCACACTTACAGTTACTAATTCGATGTCTGTGTTCTTTGCTAAATGACAAGCCCCATGAGGATAGGGACTGGCTCTCTGGGCACACTGTGTAGCATAGCAGGTGCACTATAACCATTTGTTGATCTCCTGCCTATATCTAATACATAAGCACCCCAATAAACCTATTCCCTCTATAAGCAATCCATTTATTTAAGAAGAAACAAAACAAAACAACAAAAAAGAGAGCTCTCTTCAAAGGACATGATCTGCAGCTCACAGTTCTGTCTTAAGGAAACCCCCTCACACCCACTTTATCACCGTCACTCTAATATTTATGGCAACAGAAGAATCAAGCCACTCGGAGTTTTTGAAGTGTGTGCTTCTCAGGGTGTTGAGCTCATGAAAACTGCCTTGTAGCTTCAGCAGGCCAGAGAGAATGGCTTTGCAGTAGGCCACCAGCAGATCTTTCTCTGGACTGTGAAACTTTGAAAATACCGGCAGTTTTATTTGAGGGCTTCATTCTCAGCCCAGTGTCATCCTGCAAGCACTAAAGCCAGCCTTCCTAGGCATCCCCTTATAATAAACCTTCCTTCCTTCCTCCTTCCTTCCTTCCTTCCTTCCTTCCTTCCTTCTTTCCTTCCTTCCCTATAACAAACCCTTCCTTCCTTCCTTCCCTATAACAAACCCTTCCTCCCTCCCTTCCTTCCTTCCTTCCTTCCTTCCTTCCTTCCTTCCTTCCTTCCTTCCTTCCTTCCTTCCTTCCTTCCTTCCTTCCTTCCTTCCTTCTTCATGCCTTGTCCATGGTGCCCCCTGGAGACAGTAAGGGGAACTGCAAGGAATCTGGGCTTTCAGCCAGGTCTGTTGGGGACCCCTCATGGCAGGTGACCTTCAGCAGGTCCCATAACCTCCTTGACCCTCAGGATCTTCTTTCACTGGTGAAAATGAGGCTCATACTGCCTCCTTCATAGAGGTCTTGTAAAGACTAAGCATATATTTAATAGTCCCAGTGGAGTTCCTGCCTTTGAACATATTACTTCCCCTTGCTTCTTCCTGATAGATATTTTCATTCTGAATGTCAGTAAAACATCCCATTGTGGACTTAAAGCAATTTATAAGAGGAATGATGGTAGGAAGAGGGAGACAGTGTAGTAAGAAAACTGCATTTCCCAGAGGTTGAAAGACACTCCTCGGAAGCAGCTGCGATTTGAAGGGGAGCGTGTGACGTGGATACAGGCCTCAACCCTCAAGGAGCTGCTGGACCTCAAGGCTCAGTACCCTGATGCCAAGCTGGTGGTGGGGAACACGGAGATTGGTAAGGGCCGGGGATGCTGCCCTGGGGCTGCCAGGGGGCTTGGGGGTGTTTCTAGGTCTTCTTGCCCATCCTCACCTCCCCCTGACCTTACTTGCCTCTGCACCCTACCCCTCTGCCCCACTGACTACCTAGAGCCCACCAGAAAGCCCTGTACACTCCAGTTCCTGCAAAGGCCCCTGGCTGTGGAATCCCACAGGCCTGGCTCAGCCCCTTGCTGGATGTGTGACCTCAGAAAAGTTGCTGGGACCTGGAGGACAGATTTGAAGTTTTCCTTCTCATTTTCCTTTTTGTTTTAATGTTAAACTTTCATGTTTTTATTACGATTATACCCCAACATGAATAACCATTCCAGTACTAAAATTTGGTTATTCTTAGCTGTGTGATTTGGGCAAGAAACTTAACCTTTCTGTGCCTCAGCTTCTTCGTCTATAAACAGAAAAATCATGGTACCTCGTAGGGTTGTTGTAAGGATTAAATAAGTTAAAATAGGGAAAGTGCTTGGAAGGGTTCCTGACATACCTTAATTTCCTGTGTTTCCTAATGTTGTCCACACACACACACACACACACACACACACACACACACACACACGAGTGAATTGAAACTCATTTCATTTGAATTCAGATAGGTTTTTTGAGAGGGAAAGAAAGACCTAGTTTTGGGCGGACAGTCCAAAGACTACATCTAATCCCACCCCTGGTTTACTGAGTTTCCTATTCCCAGACACCTACAGTCACCAGGGAGCATATTATGATTGTGAATATGTCATATATCCTGTGTGTAATGGTAGGAAAAGCTGCTAAGTCCTGCCCTGGTGATACAACAATGGGCCTACAACTTCAGCTTCTCGTTTCTCTCTAGGCATTGAGATGAAGTTCAAGAATATGCTGTTTCCTATGATCATCTGCCCAGCTTGGATCCCTGAGCTGAATTCAGTAGAACATGGACCCGAGGGTAAGGGGAGGTTCACTCCAAGCTCATGGAGGGGCTATGAGGCTGGGGATAGGTTACACAATGGGTGACAGGTGTCAGGGTGGCCTCCCCATTGGCTCTGGCTGCCCCCTGCTTCTCCTGGGGCTCGTCTTGCACGGGGAAAAGCGGGAGAGACCCCATTCACTGCCTTTTCTCCACCAAACATCCATGGTAGGGCGCCAATGGGCAAGAGGCTGCGGGATCTTCCATCATTTTCTCAATTCTGGCTACACATTAGAATCAGTCATCCGGGGGTGGGGAGGTGGGGGTTGTGCTTGAGTGCTTTTGAAAAGCATGCTAGGACTTCACCTTCAGAGATTCTGATTTTAATGAGTTGAGAACTACTGGTTTAGAGGAAAGAGCATCGGTTGTAGGATCAAGAGGCCTAAGCTTGAGTACTGGCTCTTTTATTAGCTGTGTAGCATTGGTTAAGTCACTCAACCGCTCTGGGCCCTAATTTCCTCATCCATGTAAAGCTGTGAGTCCTGATTCAGCCTTGCTCGGGTTGCTGGAAAGCTTCAGAGGAGCTGTGCATGAAAGCCTCTTCTGAACTGTGGGAAGAATTGCTGGGATTCCGAATGTGTGTTCCCAGGTATCTCCTTCGGAGCTGCTTGCCCCCTGAGCATTGTGGAAAAGACCCTGGTTGATGCCATTGCTAAGCTTCCTGCCCAAAAGACGGAGGTGTTCAGAGGGGTCCTGGAGCAGCTGCGCTGGTTTGCTGGGAAGCAGGTCAAGTCCGTGGCGGTGAGTCGCTGTCAGGAGCAAGCGAGGCCCGTAGGATGGAGCTTTCATCTGAAAGCAGGGCGGCCTGACTCTCACTTGCGTCAGTGCAGTGGGCCTCAAACTTTAGTGCTTAGAGTTGCCTGGGAGGAGCAGTGCTTGTTAAAGTGCAGATTCCTGGGCCCCACCCTCAGAGATTCTGATACGTGAGTCTGGGAGATAGCCCAGCTCTTCAGGTGCTTCTGATGAAGGTGGTCTGTGGGGCACCCTGGGAAACGCACTCCACGACTCATGGGCTTCATGCTGTGGTTGCAGAGATGAGGCTTCCTGCCTCCCTCCCCTTTCCTGAGCTTGGCTGAGCCAAACAGTAGGTGAATAAGAGATATGCTAGGGAGAAGCCAGAATTGGGAGGGGAATTTCCTTTCCGAGCTATGGGGAGAACCAGAGACAGAGCCCTCCGACAGAGGGAGGAATCCACCTGTTGATTATTCAGTCAGCCTTCAGACGAGTCCCCACATTCCCAGTTTGCAAATGGTGGCATTCAAACACCCTATGCCAATGGAAGCTCTTCACAACAGCTTATGGTGTTGGAAGAAAAGCTATCCCTGCCGTTTTTAAATTTTTTTTAAATTAAAACAAAACAGCCTACACCTGTTCCTCCCAGCCCCCACCCCAAGTACCTGTCACTTCTGAGGATAGATTAGGAGATATAAATGCAGAAACGCTACCGAGTTCCCTAGTTCTGCTAAAATCTACTTCCAGGAAGAATTTTGTTGTCATTGTGCAACTGATTTTCTTCCTGTTTTCGAATAATGAGAACCCTGTATCTGATTCTTCTTACATTATTTTTGCCAAGTTACCAGGAAGTTCAGATCCAAATGGGGCAAATTGTTCAACCTTAAGTCTTCCTCCTCTCTTTCCTTGATCTTTATCTTCTACTTTATTAACTCTATATGGCCTCTGTGATAAATCACCTCAATCCTTTCGGGAAAAGGTTGGGTGAAATCATCAATCAAACAAACAAACACACTTAAAGGGGCTTCCCTGCTAAAATTTTAGAGTTGGGATCCAATCTCAAGTGTTCTGATTTCAAATTTTGCGCATTTTTCAGAATGCCTAAGTTCTCACTGTGCTGTTATTGTGACTACAGTGGACACAGGTCCTCAGGGGTCTGCCTGCAGCAGGGGTCACCTGGTTGCCCTGGGTTCGGAAGCCTGCTGCGTGAGCAGGGGTTTCCTGGGGTGGGCTCTCACTGCATGCTCTCTGCTTGTTTTAGTCCATTGGAGGGAACATCATCACTGCCAGCCCCATCTCCGACCTCAACCCTGTGTTCATGGCCAGTGGGGCCAAGCTGACACTTGTGTCCAGAGGTGAGCTGCCTGAAGCAGAGGTCCAGGAAGAAGGACTTGGGGGAGAAAAGTCTCACCAGATAGGTCATTTTCTGGAGAAACAGAGTTCAAAGTTCAGTGACCCAGCTTTCCCTAAGGTCTGGATCCAGGGAAGCAAGGAAAATGTACCCGGTTTGGGGGACAGGAAAGCTGGACCTTTTCTTTGTAGAGAATTCACAGCAGGTACTGCTATCTGGATGCCTTACCTACTGGGGTACTGGGGCTGGGATGCACTGGCTCACCACAGCCTGCTGTTGGATCTTCAGGAATTCTGTGAGCCATCTGTGAAACAGTTATTAATAAAAATCAGGCCAGGTGCGATGGCTTATGCCTGCAATCCCAGCACTTTGAGAGGCCGAGGTGAGAGGATTACTTGAGGTCAGGAGTTCAAGACCAGCCTGGCCAACATGGTGAAACCCCATGTCTACTAAAAACACTAAAATTAGCCAGGTGTGGTGGTGTGCGCCTTTAGTCCCAGCTACTTGAGAGGCTCTCAGGAAAATCACTTGAACCTGGGAAGTGGAGGTTGCAGTGAGCCAAGATCTCGCCACGGCACTCCAGCCTGGGTGACAGAGTGAGACCCTGTCTCCAAAAATAAAAATAAAAATAAAGTTGTGTAAAGTTACAATGAAATAAATTATATTCAAAACAAAAGGAATAAATACTCAAAATTCATCGCTTCCTAATTACTTCATTTTGCTGTTATCAGTGCTCTTGGAGTTATTTGCCTCTGTCTGTCTGTACGGTGGACATGCCGTACAATTATGTGCTCCTGTGAATCTCTGCCTTGTCAGAGGGTCCCCGAAACCACCCCAGCTCTGATATTCGCTGAGAGGATTCAGCATGCAGTCATATTCCGGGCTATGACTTATTATAGCAGGAGGATGCAAAATCAGCAAAGGGAAAAGATACATGGGAGCAAAGTCTGGAGGAACTAGGCCCAATTTTCCAGAGACTTCTCCCAGCGGAGTCACACAGCGCATGCTTAATTCCTCCAGCAATAAGTTGTGACAACACAATTGATGCCTTGCCTACCAGGGAAGCTTGTTAGAGGCTCAGCGCCTGGGGTTTTCTCGGGAGCTTGTCATATAGGCAGCCTCTACTAGCATGTGCCCAAAGTCTAGACTCCCAGAAGGAAAGCAGGGGTTCAGCATAAACTATTGTTTGTACAGATAATTTAGGCACAGTGAGCTGCTCTATCATGGAGCACTGGGAACCCTTCTGAAGTACAAGTTCCCAAGGGTCAGCCTTGTAAGCAACCCCTACAGAGGAGAGCAGTCCGGGTTGCTGTGCTCTTTCCCGCCTTCTTCCCAGTTTCACATTCAGTGATGCAACTTTGGTGGCCTGAAATTGGCTATTGGAAGTATTTACACCACACAGATTGGCAAATGCTATAAACCAGGGCTTTTTCCCCCACACGGAACTGGTCGTTAAAGATTCACTAGCACACTATTGCTTAAGGATGCTTAAGGATTTCAAATGGAGGATTTGGCCCCAGTTGTGACAGTCATTCCCTCTGACTGTGGGCATTGGAGACCAGCATGAAGAATCCCACTGATGGTTGCCCTTTGCTCCCCATGGGGTTCCCAGCCTGTCCCTCACGTTGGCTCCTCTTCATCTTGCTTCTGTACAGGCACCAGGAGAACTGTTCCAATGGACCACACATTCTTCCCTGGCTACAGAAAGACCCTGCTGAGCCCGGAGGAGATACTGCTCTCCATAGAGATCCCCTACAGCAGGGAGGTGAGATGTTGGCGGTGGTTCCAGGCTCTGCTCAAATGAGTCCTACTGCCAGGCTCTAGACAAAGAGATCAGAATCTGCCTCAGGGACCAACATGAGCCTCTCTCAATCTTTACAGTGATGATTTTTCTCTCTGAACTTTGCCTCTATTGAACCAACCATATTCCTTTCTGGACAATGAGAAGTTGCAGGATAGGAGTCCACATGGCATGGACTGTGGAACCAGATAGCTAGAAACTTAGTCCTGAGTGAGTCATTTCACCTTTCTGAGCCCCAATTCCCTCATCTGTAAAATGGGCACCATGTCACTTACTATACGGGTTATTGTGAGGACTGAAAATAAATAATTCGTAAGGTTTCTGGTGATGCCTAGAAGCCAGTGGAGAAGACCAGCAGCTAACAACAGAATTCCAAGAACACATCTAGCTGTCAAGGCTTCCTGCCCATGTCAGAGGAAATTTGCTTTTCCGTGGTGAAGAATGTGGGGTTCATGTGCTGCATGAAGCAGCTGCCTGTGGCTCAGACCATATGCTGACCTTAGACTTGATGAGGTGTTGCTTCGCTGACCTCACTGTGGATTGGTGCGGATGGATTCCTGCTTCATGAGTGGCTCTTCTGGCCTGTCGGGGCAGGTCTGGGCACCACTGGCTGCCTTACTCTTTGTTCCCTGGGGCCTGTGATGTCTTGACCTGGTGTGGGTCTTTCCTCTCCTAGCAGCTACCAGCTCAGAACACATTCCAAAAGGGCCTGTCAGAAAAGGCATCTGGGAGAGGCTTGGGGAGCCGCTGTCAGGGAGAGTGAAGTTTCCCACAGCCGGCGCTTTAGTGAGTGTTCTAAGGCATGTTTTGCCCTTGGTATTTTGACCTCCTTAATGAGAATGCTAATTAAATTAGAGCAATTATATCCCTGAGGTGGTTTCTTAATGGTTGTCTAGCTTGTCTGTATAGACCATTTTGAGCAGTGATTCCCAGCATTTTGAATTTCACAGTTCAGTAATTTTTTTTTTAATTGTGAGCGATGAAAGGGAGAGGAAACAGGTGTAGCTCTATTCAGTTTTTATTTGCCAGGTATGGTCATTAACAAAATACATCCTTCCGTAAAAGAAAGGAGATTTTAATACCCAGAATTAGGAAACTCTCAAGAAAGGATATTGTCAACCTGCCACTGACAGTTCACTGTACCCCAGAAAGAATGTCCCCATGGACAGGCACAGTCCTGGGAGTGAGCACCTGGGACCTCTGTTCCAGAACAAAGGTCAAACTCTGGGCTCAGTGCCCCAGAGCCGTGCTTGACATCCAAGCTGAGCTAGCTTTGTCATCAGGAGGGGGCTCCATGGCTTCTTCAGAGAAAAGCCTGTGGCTATTTGGGGGCCTCAACTGTGGGCCTCATTATGCTTTTTCCAATAGATCTCCTCTCCCTAAACATGCTAATTTTATTGTTCAACAGAATTTGCGGTGCCAGAGTGAGTACAGACCTCAAAAGGAACCTGACACAGAAAGAGCTTGAAGTCAGGTGGCTTTTACCTGGAAAATAACTCATGCTCTCCTCCTATCCTTAAAGACAGATCCTAGCTCAAACCCAGGAAGGAAAATGTGTTTAAAGTGCAAGGGCAGTGATGGTTGCATAGTGTGATAGTGATATTTTCTTTTAGCAAGACTTCTTTCTGTCTTTCTGTCTTTCTTTCTTTTTCTTTTCTTTTTTCTTTTTCTTTTTTTTTTTTTTTTGAGACAGAATCTCACCCTGCCTGCTGGGCCAGGCTGGAGTGCAGTGGCATGATCATGGCTCACTGCGGCCTCAACCTCCCAGGCTCAAGTGATACTCCCACTTCACCCTCCCAAGTAGCTGAGACTGCAGGAGTGCGCCACCACACCTGGCAATTTTTTTCTTTTTTTGTAGAAATAGGGCCTCACTATGTTGCCTAGGCTGGTTGAACACTTGGCTTCAAGCACTCCTCCTGCCTAGGCCTCTGGGATTACAGACGTGAGCCACTGTGCCCGGGGTTCTTTCACCAGGATTTCTGAATGATGCCAACAGACTGGTGGGAAGGGCAGATTGGAGAGGGCACTGTGAAGGCCACAAGCAGAGGATGCCAAGGGCCAAACAGTCTCAGTCCCCAGAGAGGCTGGGGGGGCACTGATAGTGGGCACCAGGGTGGGGAAGGTAAGGGGGATGAGGGGTCTCTGAGGAGCCTTTGTGAAAGCACACTTCCTCCCCTGCAGCTGTTGTTCAATGGAGACCACCCAGTTCTACTTTGTCCCTGACCCTCAGCTTTTCTGACTAGCAGGGAGAAATCCTGGTTTTTTTCCAGCTTCTGGGAATGCTGTTTGGAACCTCTCCTAAACAGGTGGTAATCAGTTACGTCTGATCTTTGATTCCTGGGGCCAGTTCACACACTGATGTGTGATGGTGTTATCCCCTCACCCCACCTCATAGCCCTGTGGTTTGGGTCTTCCATTTGCAGCCCCTGCAAAGCAAGGTGGAAAACAGGCACCTTCCTATTCTCTTTTAGGGGGAGTATTTCTCAGCATTCAAGCAGGCCTCCCGGAGAGAAGATGACATTGCCAAGGTAACCAGTGGCATGAGAGTTTTATTCAAGCCAGGAACCACAGAGGTAGAGGAGCTGGCCCTTTGCTATGGCGGAATGGCCGACAGAACCATCTCGGCCCTCAAGACCACTCAGAGGCAGCTTTCCAAGTAAGAGCTAACAGCAGAATAAAACTGCTGCTACTGTTGCTGCTACTAATAGTATCATTATTACTGCTGCTGCTACTATGACCACCAGTAGTATTACTATTGCTGCTACTACTACCATAACTACTGCTACTGCTGCTACTATTGCTACCACTTCTACTTCTACTATAACCACAGTTGCTACTACTACTACTACTATTACTAATACTACTAGTAGTATTACTGCTAGTATTGCCATTGCTATGCTATTACCATTGCTGCTACTACTATTATTAATACTATTGTTACTGTTACTGCAACTATAATTAATATTATCATTGCTGCTACTCCAGCTGCTTCTACTACTAGAATTACTGCTGTTACTCATTATTGTTATCACTATGACTACTGTTGCTACTACTATCACTACAGCTACAATCACTGCTGCAATTCCTACTGTCACTATTATGATTAGTATTATTGCTGTTATTACTATTACTACTACTGCTGCCTCTTCTACTACTTGTTCTGTTAGTACTACTACTACTATTATTAGTGTTATACTAGTTTTTTACTAATACCATTACTGCTGCTACTATTATTGCTACTGAAATTACTACTACTACTACTGTTACTGCTACTATGACTATGACTATGGCTACTAGTATTGCTGCTACTACTATTACTACTAACAGTAGTATTACTGCTGTTATTGATGCTGCTGGTACTATGACTGCTACTTTCTGGCTTTGCTTCTGTTACTACTATTATTACTACTGTTGCTGTTGATTCTATTACAACTTCTTCTATGACTTTTACTACTTCTACTACTACTATCTATATTGCTACAATTACTGCAACTATTATTGCTGTTGATAGTATTATTACTAGTAGTATTGATGCTGATGCTACTACTACTGCTCTGTAATTACTACTATTGCTACCATTATGGCTGTGATTAGTACTACTGCTACTACTATTACTATTACTATGGTTATTATATAACAGAAATTGTACCAAGCACTTTACTAGCATTATCCTAGGAAATCCTTACAGCACCCACATAAGATCGATAAAGCTTAACTTGGAGTTTGGTTCCTTGGTTCCAAAATTCCTGGCTTTGTCATTTACCAAATAGGTAACATAAGTCAAGTTACTTAGCCTCCCTGTGCCTCAGTTTTCTCATTGGTAAATGGGTATACGAATTTTCCCTACTACATTTTAAAATTTAAATTAAAAGTGAGAATTCACATAAAACAATTAAGATGTTGCCTGGCACATTGTGAGGATTTGATAGATTTTAACTGTTATTACTTTGAAGGTCTTTTAAAATTGCATCTGTTTTTAAAGATGAGGAAACAGAGGCTCAATGAGGTTAATTTAAGTTGCCTAAAGTCACCCAACTCTAAGTATGCAAGCCGAATTTTGAACCAGGCTTTGTACAGCTCTGAGGCTCTGGGCACACAGCTCTACACAAAGGGATGTGGAGGGCTGGGCAGTAGCGCTGTCCCATGCGCTGCACTCTGGCAGGCTCTGGACGGAGGAGCTGCTGCAGGACGTGTGTGCAGCCCTGGCGGAGGAGCTGCATCTGCCTCCCGACGCCCCTGGTGGCATGGTGGACTTCCGGCGCACCCTCACCCTCAGCTTCTTCTTCAAGTTCTACCTGACAGTCCTTCGGAAGCTGGGCCAAGAGAACCCAGAGGACGTGAGTGGGGCCTGGCCAGTCACTGGCTCTCTGTAGCATGTTTGGGGAAAAAAGAAGTTGGTCTGGGTAGTAAACTTACTCCTGTCCTCCAGACATCTGAGGGCGGAATAGCAGGGACCAGGGTCACAGCACAAGAATCATGGAAATGGGAGTGACCAGCTGGCTTAGAGGCAGAGTGCTGGGCTGGGCTTTGGGGACACAGGTTCTTGCCCTGTAATCTCAGCTACTCAGGAAGCTGAGGCAGGAGAATCGCTTGAACTTGGGAGGCAGAAGTTGCAATGAGCCAAGATTGTGCCATTGCACTCCAGCCTGGACTATGAGAGAGAAACTCCGTCTAAAAAAAAAAAAAAGAAAAGAAAAGAAAAGAAAAGAAAAAAAAAAAGAGAAAAAAAGAAAGGGAATGCAGAGTGTGATAAGTACGTAGGGTGGAATGGGAATGTCAGGTGGGGCTGCAATAGCCAGGAGGCCGTGGAATGCACAGGATATGTGTCCTCAAGAGAGGATGCAGGCTAAGATGGGGCCCAGCTCCTGAGATTTGTTCACCAAGAATTTCTTTTGCATCTGTCCTATGCCAGGTTGCACGAGGTGCTAGGGGGCAGCTCAGTGTGGGGGAGAACGTGGACAATAAAGGCCACACTTGGGAGACAACTGCGGAGATGGAGTGTGGAGGGGGCCCAAAGTGGAGAGGATGTCACTGATGCAGGGACAGCAGAGATAAATCCCTCTTAAAACAAACAAACAAACAAACAAACAAAAAAACAACTATAAAAATACAGGATTGGATAAAGAAAACTAAAATTACCTTACTCTCAAATCCCAGAGAAAACCACTGCTAAGTATTTTGGTTATTTCCTCTGATCTTTTTTCCTGCATTTATCTGTCCATCTATCTGTTATACTGTTTGTCTGCTCCATCTCTCTCTCTCTGTTTCTAGCTGTCCTTCCATCCATCTATCAACACCTATCATCTTCCTATCTTTTGATGTGGATATATTATTTTCTAAATAGACTTGGGACCACACTGCATATAGAACTTTAAATTCCCCTTTGCTTCCATTGGGATTATGTCGTGAACATTTTCCATATCATTAAATGCTTCCCATGGAATTGAGGAGGGCAAGGAAGACTGTTCCAGGAAGGCTGGAGGAGAAGGATATTCCCAACAGAGAAAGCAGCAGGCATAAATACAAGAAGGAGGGAAAGAGTTTGGGGTGTTGGAGGAAGTACAGACCATTCAGTCTACCGGGTACACTAGGGGGCTAGCAGTGAAGCTGAGGCTGCTCTTAAATGCTGGGCTCTCAGAGCCCATGTTTGGATGCTGAGAGATCCAGCCAGCACTCAAAGGGGCATGAAATGAAGAGACAAGGGGATCAGTTGTCACTTTGGTTATTTGGGGACAACCAAGGAAGGGATCAATGATTGAAATATAATCCTGGTCACCTCTGTTGTCTTGTCTCCACAGAAGTGTGGTAAACTGGACCCCACTTTCGCCAGTGCAACTTTACTCTTTCAGAAAGACCCGCCAGCCAATGTCCATCTCTTCCAAGTGAGTACAGTCAGCGTATGGCTAATATCAGGGGACTTTGCAGGCCACATCAGTTGGCTAGGGGCTGACCATCAGCTAATGACTAACTTGAATTGTATGTAGGTGTATAAAGCTCCTTACGCTTGTGCGTAAATATCCAGTGAAGAAAATGGGAATCGTATAGATGTTAATGTCACTAGTCACTATTTCTCCCTTATCTGCCTAAATTTCTCTCTTTGGGATTAGACTCTTAGCTGTACCTCTTCTTTACAGATTTTTTTTTAACATAAGGGATAATGTGCAAAGCCAGAAGTCTTTTTGAGCATGCCAAAACAGACAAACCATCTATCTACTCCAGCTTTTTGAGAGGTGCTAGGTAAAGGCTCAGCAAACTTTTCCGGAAAACATTTTTGATTTTGTGGGCCAGATGGTTTCTATTGCAACTTCGCAACTCTGTCATTGTAGCACAAAAGCAGCCACAGGCAAAACATGAATGAATGAGTATGTTGTCTTCCAATAAAGCTTTATTTACAAAAACAGGCAGTGGGCCTGTGTCAGCCCCCAGGCCACAGTTTACTGCCCCCTGCACACTGGAGTGTGGTTGGCCCAAGCATGAACTCTGGGGCCTGCTGCCTGAATTTGTATCCACACTCTGCCAGTTCATAATTGTGCAACCTTGAACAACTTATTTATCCTCTTGTGTGCCTCTTAAGAAGGTTAATTATACCCACCTGCAAATGTGGATAATCACATACCTCTTTCATAAGATGGTTTTGAGGATTAAAGGTGTTAATAAAAGTAAATTTCTTAGATGGTCCCTGGGATACGGTGAAACATTCAATAAACATTAGCCATTGTTATGATTACTTTGTAAAACAAAAACAACTTTATTATAAAATCAATAATTTAAAACATTTTAGAAAATTTGGAAAAGTATAAAGAAGAAAATAAAAATCACCAAAAATTCCACCTCCAAGAACAAATTATTATTATATTTTTGTTTAATTCTTTTCATTATTTCCTATGCATATATGGACATGTATATACTATATTTATAGCATATATTATCTTTTCCTACAGAATTTGAATTATTGTCAAACACAAACACAAATGTTTTATGTCCTGTTTTCATGCTTGCATGAACAATCCTTCTAGTTAAAGTCCTTCAAAAGTATGTTTCAATGGTTGCATACTATTGTGTTATATGGGGCTGCATAATTTATTTACCCAATCCCCAAATAGTGGAAATGTAGGTTCTTCTTTTTCTTGTTGTTCTTTTATAAAACAATGCTACGACCACTCTTGCCATCACTTATCCACCTTCCTGTTCCCTTTGCCCCACGCCCCCTGCATTCTTTATTCTTACCCCTCGGTGTGCTTTGCCATGTAGCCTGAAGCTCTCCAGTGTCCCCTGGGCCTGTAGAGAGGCAGTGTCCTCGACAGCTCAGCCTGATTGATGACCCTGTCATTCCAGGAGGTGCCCAAGGGCCAGTCTGAGGAGGACATGGTGGGCCGGCCCCTGCCCCACCTGGCAGCGAACATGCAGGCCTCTGGTGAGGCCGTGTACTGTGACGACATCCCTCACTATGAGAATGAGCTGTCTCTCCGGCTGGTCACCAGCACCCGGGCCCACGCCAAGATCAAGTGAGTGTCACCGCCAGGAGGAGTTGGTGGAATGCTGTGAGGGAGCTGCTGGGAGCACCCAGGAGACTTCTCTCATCCTGCCAGGCCATGGAGATGCAAAGATAATGAGGTGCCTCCAGGACCTCCCAGGCTAGAGAGAAGGGAAGACCTTCTAGACAGCTCCTATTATTATCTCTGTGTTCCAGATGAGGAAACTAAGGCACAAGTAGGGTATGTTACTTGCCCCAGGCCACACAGTTGGCAAGTGGCAGAGTTGGAGTTTGAAGCCAAGCAACTGAGCAACTGTGTTGTGCTGCCTCTGCATGTTCAAGCCAGACAGCGTGAACTTCACTTCCTGGTGGGCGTTAGACACATAGCCTGCTGAGTAGAGCAGCTAGGAAAAGCCCTTCCTTGGGCCCACTGCATGGACTAGGAATCAGGTTTCCTTGTCATTGGTCTTTTCTCTGCTGCTGCTCCTAGTTTGGAGACGGACACCCTCCAGGAATGGTGAACCAGGCATGGCTGAAATCTAACAGATAAATAAACTTGTTCAGGTCCCTAAAAAAAAAAAAAAAAGTGTTTACGTTCCTATGGTTGCCAGCTATAGGATACATTCTTTCCCTTTTTTCCCTTATCTTCAGCCCATATTGACAATACCATAACCCACATTATCTACACTCAAACCACCTCCATCCAAGCAACGTGTGAATGGATGGAAGAGGATGAGGGGGTTGACATTGTTGTAACTGCAACAACTAGGGTCTTCCCGGGCTGCACACACTTGGAGGTGGGTGTGGCAGGACAGAGCTTAACCCTCCTAACTTAACCTCAGTTCCAGTAATACCAGTCACGCTGCTTTCTGGCTTAGTGACTTCGGACAAACTACCTAACTTCCTTGAGTTTGAGTTTCCCCGAACATAAAATGGGAATTAGGATAAGTACTTTCAGAGTTTCTTGTTAAGGATTAAGCATTTGGAAGATGGTTAGTACTTCAGGGCAGTTTCCATGCCTTTCCCTGAAATGTGTTGCCCTATTTCCCTATGGGGACATGTGCCAGTATGATCAGTACATAGTTGAGACTGTTATCCTTGATAATATATTCAGGCATTCTCCCTTTGAGGTTCATGTTTCCTTATTGTGGTAGGATGCCCGGTCATGCTGGGATAGCACCATGAATGCAGGGAGAGAAATGCAGCTCTATGAAGCTGTTCAGGGCCATTGGATCAGTGGCACAGCAGGGCCCCATGTGCTGCTTTTGGAAGGGAGTTAGGTGTGATGCGTGAGTTAGCCAGAGCTCTCCAGAGTAAGTGCTGTTCGTTCTGATATGGCTCGCTTGTACCTGGAGACCAGACAGGGCACCACGTAAGGTATAAAGAGGCCTGGCCTGCCTTATTTACTTTATTTATTTTTAAATGGAGACAGGATCTTGCTATGCTGCCCAGGCTGGTCTTAAACTCCTGGGCTCAAGTGATCCGCCCACCTTGACCTGCCAAGGTGCTGGGATTACAGGCGTGAGCAACTCTGCCTGGCTGGCTTATTCACTGTATATCCCCAGCAACATTCAGCATAGTGGCCTGAACATGGTGAGGATTTAATCGACATTTGCAGAATACAATATAATTGAATTAGAATCTAATAGAAAAGAAGCGGAGAAACGAGGAATTAGGATGGAGCCAAGCCAATCAAAATAAAAACAGGGTTGTCCAACTAGGTGATAGGTCCCCTGCTCCAGCTTGCTGGCCGGGCCCCTCACACTACTCATTCTTGCAGGTCCATAGACATATCAGAAGCCAAGAAGGTGCCAGGGTTTGTTTGTTTCATTTCCGCTGATGATATTCCTGGGAGTAACATAACTGGAATTTGTAACGATGAGACAGTCTTTGCAAAGGATAAGGTAGGTCTTGGATTTTTTTTTATATGAAGTAAATTGAATAAGTATTGAAGTTTTAATTTGTGTACATTGCTCCAAACTCCTGATCTGGAAAGGTTATATATTTGCATGAATTGTGGCCATCATCCAGTTGGCCCATATTCAGCACAATCCACAAAGGGATAGAATATGTTACTTGTTTATTTAATTGATGCCTGCTGTTTGTACATAGTAGGATGCCTCTATGCCAAAGTGGCAGTAAAACAAGGCTGGTGATTACATTTGAACTAACAATTGGGTTCTTAAGGTACAACAGTAAACTCCTTAATTAAAATAAAATAAGAACACATTTAACAAACTAACTAGAAATCACAATACCACCACTACGTGAATTGATAATTCACTTACACGAAAGTTGATCTATTGATTTCAACTATATGGAATTCTGCAGCAACAAACAAAATCCTTCAAATGTTTAAGACAGCTGCTACAAAAGTCCTTATATTTTACTCATAGGATAGTTCTCGACAGTCATTTTGTAATTCTGGTAGACATCAAATCTTGCAAATTAGACATGAGTGGGTATTTCTGAAGAGTGAGTTCATCTTATTATTGATGTAAAAGTGAAGGAAAGAACAAAAAACTAAAAATGTGAGAACAAGGACTCCATGGGGAGAGCATTTCATAGAAGAACAAGTTGCTTTACATACTTTAAGAGCTTCTCAGGGCAGTGCTAGCATTATGGCTAGTGAGAGTCAGCCCCATTTAACCACCATTGCACTAACCAACAGCCAGATTTAACCACCATAGCACTAACCAACTAAGTCAATAGCTTATTTGGGCCACAAAGATAATTATCAGAGACATGCATGCTAATTGTTGGTTCCTATTGTCAGAAACCTCATCTTCTAAAGTGATGTGTTGGACAAAAATTTTTTGTTGTTTACTTTTTTGGGGATGTTGGATGAAAATTATCTCTGAAGGAGATCCATTAAGCTTTTATGAAACTGAATTATTGAAGAAAAGAAAACAACAATCATTATCATATAAATTTTTAAAAATCTTTTTATGGGTCATCAAGTCTAAGAACCAGCATTTGAGAGCTACTGCTTTTGGGTATTAGATGAAGGATGGGACACGATACTTTAAAAAAAGTGTCACATCTTATAAGCATATGTCTTACATGCCTTATATTGATGCTTACAGCCTTTACAGCCTTTGAGAAGCTTTTGATATAAATCTGGGTAATAGAACATAGAAGAGAGTGGTGTGGTGAAAAGAAAATAAAACTAAGGGTCAGGGTCTAAGATTAGTCATGATCTATTAATAGTGACTTGCCAAATGTGGCCTTGCCTTCTGAGTCTCCATAGGAAGACCAATGGTGTTGGAGTGAATCTGAATTGACAAACACACTTCCTGGTGCCATATCCTCCTTTCTGCACATGGCAAATGAGTAGTCAATTGCCACATTCTATCTGGTTCAGCTTCTCAATAGTCTGCCAGTACTAAATACTCAGAATTGGCCCTTGAGATGAAATGTGTTTGGCATCTTGATCCTAATGATCCTCAATCAGTAGGATAAGGAAATTAAGAGGCCCCAGGGCATTCCTAAAATGTGCTTTGATTGTGAGGCCAGGGACTTCTTTTGGCTTTTTGAACAATCCAAAAATAATTTGTTTCACTATGAGCCTGGTTGCGTTCTTTAACAGTCTGTCTCTGCTACTAGGTTACTTGTGTTGGGCATATCATTGGTGCTGTGGTTGCTGACACCCCAGAACACACACAGAGAGCTGCCCAAGGGGTGAAAATCACCTATGAAGAACTACCAGCCATTATCACAATTGAGGTAACTGAGAATGGGCTGCCGGTGTAGAGGAGTGAGCTCCTTGTCCCTGGATGTGCATTTATTATGATCCCCTAGAGGGGATTTGAGCAGTGGATAGGGATTTGATTAGATGGGTTTTAAAATCCCTTTCAACCCTGGGATTTGGGGTCCCATGAAATCTTCCCCTTTACGATCTTAGGCCCAGTCCACTAACAACAGCCAAACTGAGTTCCTCCTTCCCAAAATTTTACCTCCATCTGGTCCTTGTGGTATTCTTTGCTTTTCCTCAAGGTCCAGGGTTGTCCACCTACAGCTGAGGAAATGAAGGAAGATGATTCCCTGGGCTACAGTAGAGCTTACTTCAAGTCTGTATGTGAAGCGTATAGAGATTCATTTATGAGAAGAGAGAGTCAACAATTCAGAGAGCTTCTCTTTCCCTAATCAGAACCCATCTTTCCCTCCCTGCTAAAAGTCACATTTCTGAAACTTCTTTGTGATCCTCAGGATGCTATAAATAACAACTCCTTTTATGGACCTGAGCTGAAGATCGAGAAAGGGGACCTCAAGAAGGGGTTTTCCGAAGCAGATAATGTTGTGTCAGGTAGAGCTGCTCCGTGCCACAGTGGGAATGGGGTGGCCCTGGTTTGCAAATTAAATTCAAGAGATATGCATTGAACCCTGAAGCAGGGAAGTGATTTCCAGACATTTCCTAACAGAAAATTCCCTCTTACATTTGTAGCAAAATAGTAGACAGTTGGCTGGGAAAAAACTTCAGTCATCTTAATCTCTACTCTCCTGTCTCTAGGTTGGACCTAATGATTGTAGAGAGATTCTAGAGTATTCTGATCTGGAAGATCATCTAGGGAAGATAACAGCCACAGATGCCTGACAGCCTTAGGTCTGCCAGGCCTCTAACAGCATAAACTCTCATCATCCCCCTACCTGAAGGCAGTCCTTACCCATATTCAACTAGCATCCTCCCTCCTCTTCCCTTTGCCCTGTTCTCCCTCCACCTCTGTCTCCGACACTGTGAAATCAAATCCATTGCTCTCACCCCAGGACAATGCAGCTGACTACCTCTTTTGGAACTGTTTTTTACATTGGCTGTTGTGCTTTGCAAAGTCACTACGAAGCCAACTCTCCACCAGGCTTGGTAGCTTAGGTTCTGGAAGATGCTCTGGTTTTCAGCATTTCAATCACATCTATTAATCCCTGCTTTACCTTTTCCAAAACTGTACAATGACAGTTTTCAAAATCCTTGATTTCTATAAGCTGCAGTGAGAAGAGAACTTTGGACTGGATGCATTTCGGTGTCATTCTGGTTTCTTTGTTTAGGGGGTGGGGGTGAGGGTAGAGCACTCAGCTCCCAAATGGCTAAGACTTTGGGATCCTTTTCCACCCCAAGTGGGAAACCTTGAGGTTACCGCTCAGGTAACTGTGTGATCAGTTGCTTCCTGCCCAGGCCACTTGGCAGAGTGTACTCCCTCCTTAGGCAAGCGGGTCCCTTCTGCAGAATCGAGCTCACTGTGAGGGATCTCACTGCTTCCCCAGGGGAGTTATACATCGGTGGCCAAGAGCACTTCTACCTGGAGACTCACTGCACCATTGCTGTTCCAAAAGGCGAGGAAGGAGAGATGGAGCTCTTTGTGTCTACACAGAACACCATGAAGACACAGGTAGGTGCCTTTGGGTCAGCTCAAGGGGCTGACAGGGCAGCGGGGAGCTCCTAGCAAACCAGGAGGGCCATGTGGGAAATGGAAAGAGGGAGATGTGGGCTGGTCCAGAGGGTACTCGAGTGTCATAGTCCTGGAGTCACCAACAAGCTGGTATCACTGACCTTGTTCCATAACCTTTCTCAGCCTCAGTTTTCTCATCTATAAAATGGGGCCTGGGTGGGTCGTCGTAATTATTAGATGAGTTTTAATATTTAGACTAGAGTTTGGTACATGTTGGCTGTTATCATTTCAGTGCCTATGGCCTTGGTCAAGTCATATCCTGCCTCAGTATCCTCCTGTAAAATGAAGGTATTGGATTAAGTCATAGCCACAGGGCCCACTAAATTATCTACAGCAGCTCAAATAGTCCTCCTTTCTCTACTGCCTGTAATGTGACAGCGGTTGCCAGTGTTTTTGGCAGCTGGTCCTGCTCTCATGATCTCCCAGTCCCTGGTCACCTGGTCAGACGGAATAAGTTTCTAAAAGTATTCTGTGACCAACTGCTTGCCCTCTGGTTAAAAACCAATGCCTGAATTCAGTCTGGCAGGCCCCAGCATCACTAACCACAAAGCTGCATGGGGATTTTGAATCAAGGAATTTCAGAATTCACAGTAGTAATTAGGTCCATGCATGTTGGACAGGCTCTGCATCAGGCCTGAAATAAGTTCAGATAATGCATTCAGTGTGAATGTTCTGTCTTTTACCCATAGAGCTTTGTTGCAAAAATGTTGGGAGTTCCAGAAAACCGGATTGTGGTTCGAGTGAAGAGAATCGGAGGAGGCTTTGGAGGGAAGGAGACCCGGAGCACTCTGGTGTCCACGGCGGTGGCCCTGGCCGCATATAAGTGAGTTCCAAAGCCTGTTTCTCTCATCTGGCTCTGGGAAGAAGACTAAGGCTGCTTCTGCCAGGAAGGCTTTCTGGACTTCCCCCTGTTAGAATTCGTCTCCCCCTGCTTTGAATTCTCACAGCCCTTTGTTTTTAGAACCCTTGGGCATAGTGGGAGGGTAACATCACCTGTTCCATTGTGGTCTGGCACAGGTGTCCACGTCTGATCTCCCCATCTGGCTGTGAGCTCTCTGAAGGAAAGCACATACCTCGCGTCCTTATATTCTCCACCTTGTCTAGCACAGTGCCTAGATGGCAAAGCAGCCCAGTACAGGTCTGCTCAGCGTGCAGGTGGAAAAGGTGGCTTCCTGGCTGTTTTTATTCTGAGACTCGCAGGGCTGAGCTGCTGTTGAAGGCTCACAGGCTTCTAATCCTTTCGGTACCCGCCAGGACTGGCCGCCCTGTGCGCTGCATGCTGGACCGTGATGAGGACATGCTGATAACTGGTGGCAGACATCCCTTCCTGGCCAGATACAAGGTTGTAGATGTTGGGGCTGTGCTGGGATGGGAAGTGCCATTTTGTGAGGAAACCTGGGACCAAATGTCCAGGCTTCCTAGAGCTGCACTCTTACTTTTTGCCTATCTGTAGAAGTTCAAATAAGATATAGCAAGAAGAGAAATTCAAGTAGGCTAACAGCAACACAGAAAGGTGGCGCTGAGGGAGGCTGGCACCCCATCTCCCAAGGGTGGCACTCGTGGCTTCTGTGGATTTGCTGTGTTCTGAGTCTGGTCAGGCTCAGAAACATGATTCACCAGCAGACTCAGGGTCAACCCATCGTGCTTGGTAGCCCAACATTAACATGATCACAGGCCTGATGTAAATATTGGAATGACAGCTTAGTAATTTACTGTGAGAAATAAAACTTCCCAGGAGCCTGGATAGCCCCAAGATGTTCGGATAAGCACCTGCTTTCCCAGATCATGGTTGGAGACTGTCCACACTTCTCTCTGGGACAGTCCCTTTTCTGGAGTTCTGTGGATGACCAATGCACTCTTTCCCTGTACACATCAGCAGAACCTTACCAGGATTCCGCCTAGCTCTAGAAACCTGGGAGCCCTCTCTCCATGAACTGGCCTTGAACATGGCCTTTGACCTATTCTGAGTTTGTTTCATAATTTAGCTCCCAGCAAGGGATTATAGTTCTCTTAGCCCCAAATTCTTGTGGGCCTGAAGAGAGTTCCTTGATCCTTCGGGGTCCCAGTTTCTGTGTGTGTGACAGCCTGTAAAGGGTATTTTAACAGTGTACATAAGGTCAAGGATGTGCATGCTCCTGTGAAATACAACTTTTTTTGTCTTCTGACCAAAATCCGTGAGGGGACAGTCCAGTATCTTTCCTAGTTTCTCTTCCCTGCGCTCCCCTCCCTGCCCTATCACGACCAACTCTCTATTTCCAACCTCCTTACTCCCCTCCTAGACCAGAAGCCAGGTGCCAGTAGCAGGAAGAAGGGGTGTGGGGACAAGGGTGTCCAGGGGTGGGGAGCCAAGTGTGCGCCGCTGGGGAGAGGTCAGTTCCTCTCTTCTTCACTTGTTACCTTCTTCTGACTTTTGAAGGTCACTCTTTTCTCATGGGATGATGTGGTGTTCTGTTTATTTCCTCCAGGTGGCATAAGTGGGAGGGAGGATCAGAGAGAGACAGAGAGGTGGGGGAAAGGGGACTTCTGATAAATCACTCTCCTTTCTCCTTTTATCAGGTTGGCTTCATGAAGACTGGGAAGGTTGTGGCTCTGGAGGTGGATCACTTCAGCAACGGGGGGAACACCCAGGATCTCTCTCAGAGTGTGAGTAGGACCTGCAACCGCCCCTGCACCCAGAGCTGACTTCAAGATCAGCCTGTTCCCACACAGGCACGAGCCTCCCTAATCCCAGCCTGCTACTGTTGCAGTAGTCTCCTAATGGGTCCTCACCTTCAGGTTTCCCATCCTTGATTAATCTCAATAGCACAATGATGATCGTATTATTTCTCTGGTTAAAAACCCGTCCTTCCTGTTTAAGATAATTTGCCAAGCTAGCAAAGTTAGTTACAATGTTTTATGTACAGTGTGGTAGCATTGTGTGTGTGTGTGTATATGCATGGAATAGTAATATATATACTTAATACTAATATATATTACTATATATAACATGCATGGAAAAGTGTCTGAAGGAACATATACCAAACTGTTAACAGTGATGATCAAATTATTAACAATGATTGGAATGGTATTGAGAGGGGTATACACTGTCATTTTCTATGTTACACGTTTCCATGATGTTTTAATTTTAAATAAGTCTAATTGCTTTTTGAAAAATTGTTTCATTGAAGTATAATTTACATACCATAAAGTTAATCCATTTGAAGTGTGTAACTTAATGGTTGTTAGTAAATTTCAAGAGTTGTTAGACCACTATCACAATCCAGTGTTTGAACTCCCATCACCCTAGAATGATCTCTTGCATCCATTTGTAGTCATTCCCATTACCATTCCACAGGCCCAGGTCATCATTAATCTACTTTCTGTCTTGTAGTTAAGTCATTTAATAGAACCATTAAATGTTCTATTTAGTTTTTTTCTGTTTGGTGTCTTTCTCTTGGAATAATGTTTTGTAGGTTCCTCTATGTTTTTGTTATTATTCTTTCTTTTGAGACAGTCTTGCTCTGTCACCCAGGCTGGAGCGCAATGGCACAATCTTGGCTCACTGCAACCTCTGCCTCCAGGTTCAAGCGATTCTCCTGCCTTAACCTCCCAAGTAACTGGGATTACAGACATGCACCCCTATGCCTGGCTAATTTTTGTGTTTTTAGTAGAGACAGGGTTTCACCATGTTGACCAGGCTGGTCTCGAATTCCTGACTTCAAGTGATCGGCCCACCTCAGCCTCCCAAAGTGCTGGGGTTACAGGCGTGAGCCACCGTGTCCGGCCCATCTATGTTATAGCATGATTCAGTACTTCACTCCTGTTCATTGATGAATAATATTCCATCATAAGGATATACCATATGTTGTTTACCGTTCACCACTTGATGGACATTTGTGTTGTTTCCAGTTTTCTGCTTTTATGCATAAGACTGCTCTGAACACTCTCATACTAGTTTTACGTAGACATGTATTTTTATTTGTCTTGAGTAAATTCCTAGGAATAGAATTGCTGAATCTGTGGTGAGCTTAACATTTTAAGAAATAATCGCATTTTCATGGGCAGAGGCAGCCTGGCAGGCACTGGGAGAGCTGGGCTTTATTATTACTAATATTCTACAACTGTTTAAATAGAAGGAACTTTATAATGAAACAGTTCAGAATACTGGCTTAAGAACCTATGTCAAGATGAGCTGAATTTTAGTAAATTATTTTAGGAATTATGATGAGCTAATTGAATTAGGCTTGTGACAATGAGAGGAATTTACATGACAAGTAAAACTTGCTCATATTAAAAATGTTTAGATATTTGCTTCTATAGATGTCACTTTAATAAAATACCAATTTAGTTTTACTTGTGGCTTGTCTAGTTAGTAATAACTTTAATAGGCTTTATTGGGACAAGCTTACTGCTCTTGTAGGAGCTCCTCTCACAAGTAGTTGTAATGCCCTAGTACAACTCAGGATCAGTAGCTTGAGATGTTATTGTTTTTCTCTTCATCTTTGACTTTCAAAGAGCCTCCCCTTTTTGGATCCAGACATCTTTTCTGAATCCTGGTTCCACTAGTATACCTGCTCTCCTATGATCCCAAATCATAGTCAATGGTGCCTCGAACGTAGCACCTTCAGTTAAAGGCTGCCTAGTGCTCTGAGGAAAGCTTGCTGATTATCTCCCTGCTCTACTCACCCCAAAAGGCAGAAAAACAACATAGTCAGTCCTGCGCTCATTTGTAATTGTAAAGATCAGTTATATATGTATTTGTAATGAGAGCAAGTATATACTCATTATAGGATAAATTTAAGAAGTTTAAAATATCCCAAAGTAGAATTTCTATATCTAGTCTTTTGTTTTTTTCATGAATATTTGCAAGTGATTACCATTAAATTCACACATGACAGATTAATCTGAAAGATCTGAGAGACCACGTTCTTCCTGGCCGTGATAGAACTGCTCCTGTGGTTTGGGACAAGTAACAAAACATCTGCTTGAGTTTTGTTTGCAAAATACACTATTAATATTTGACCTACCTCAAAACATATTGAGGATCTGTGAAATGCTAAGTTCCCAAAATAAAATATTGCCGATTGTCTTTTAATTGAAAGTAAATTTCCTCATTAAGTCAACCTGCCTTCTGTAAGTCACAGTGCTTAAATCTCAGGATTTTTTTTTTTTTTTTTTTTTTTTTTTGACACGGAGTCTCGCTCTGTCGCCCAGGCTGGAGTGCAGTGGCTGGATCTCGCTCACTGCAAGCTCCGCCTCCCGGGTTCACGCCATTCTCCTGCCTCAGCCTCCCGAGCAGCTGGGACTACAGGCGCCCGCCACCTCGCCCGGCTAGTTTTTTTTGTATTTTTTAGTAGAGACGGGGTTTCACCGGGTTAGCAAGGATGGTCTCTATCTCCTGACCTCGTGATCCGCCCGTCTCGGCCTCCCAAAGTGCTGGGATTACAGGCTTGAGCCACCGCGCCTGGCAGGATTTTTTCATTAGGAGAGACCTGTCATTAAGGATTTGTAGGTGTAATTGCTTTAGCCTCCATTATTGGTGCTTGGGATAGAGAGGTTTTAGATTTTTCTGTTTTTTGTTCTGCCTCAAAGTTCAGTTTATTGAAGACATTTGTAAGCTATTGGATCATCACTTGAATCAAGATTTTGACTAGTGACCTAAATTGTCCATTTCTTATGATTTCCAAGTTATAGTCTGAGAAATGGCTAATTTTAGTAACTGTCCTATCATAAATTAATGTTGGAATAAACTGAAGCTGGAAATAAATACTTCATGAAAACTGGCTAAAGTCTGAAATAAATTACCTGTTTTATGTCCAATAGCTACTACATTTGATAGAACAGTTTTGAGAAACATTTCATTCTTGAAGGCAACATCTGACATGGTTCTCAGCAAGTTGGAATAGTAAAGATGGTTGGGTTGTTTTGATGAGTGGAAGCAGCATGTTTGTAGCATACAAGTTATTCAATAATCTTGTGCTATTGACCTAAAAATATGTCTTAACTCTTCATCGAGGCAAGCCTGGTGAAGCCTTTACTTGTTACTACTTCAACAGTTGGAATTAGTTGCTCTTTTTACTTGATGAAACAAAACTATACCTCTGAATATTTACGGATGCTTTTTACTAAATCAGGCTTGTGTTCTTAATCCAAATTAGTAAAGTTTTATGGAAGCTGAGATGTAATACAGTAGTCTCCCCTTATCTGCAGGAGATACATTCCAAGAACCCTAGTGGATGCCTGAAACCTCAGATAGTACTGAACCCTTTATACACTATGTTTTTTCAATCTAACAACCAAGGCAGCTACTCAGTGCAAAGCGGCAGGCAGTATACAGTGTGGATAAGCAGGACAAAGGGATGATTCACATCCCAGGCAGGACAGAGCAGGAGGTCATCAGATTTCATCACTCGGGACAGCTTGTGATTTATTTTGTTTATTTTATTTATTTATTTTTTGTTTTGAGATGGAGTCTTGCTCTGTCACCCAGGCTGGAGTGAAGTGGTGCGATCTCGACTCACTGCAACCTCCGCCTCCTGGGTTCAAGCGATTCTCCTGCCTCAGCCTCCCAAGTAACTGGGATTACAGGCGCCCCGCCCCAACATGCCCGGCTAATTTTTGTATCTTTAATAGAAACTGGGTTTCACCATGTTGGCCAGGCTGGTCTGGAACTCCTGACCTTGGGTGATCCACCCACCTCAGCCTCCCAAAGTGCTGGGATTATAGGCATGAGCCACCGTGCCTGGCCGACTTGTGATTTAAAACATGAATTGTTTATTTCTGGAATTTTTCACATAATATGTTTGGACGAAGGTTGCCTTGGTTAACAAACTATGGAAAGTGAAATTGCAGATAAAGGGGGTTACTGCTCCTGTGCTCTAAACTTGATGTTTGGGTGATCAGGAGCAGGTAGCCAATGGGAAGAGCACTTCTGAGTGATAAGTAAAGGAGTTTCTCTGGTGGCCTTTTCACATTCTTCAATGTTCAAGCATATTTTTCACTTACCATTTTCTCTTCCACCTCATTTTGCCTCACCCTCCCCCCTCTCTGCTTATTTCTTAAACCCATTGATGGCACTCATTAAATTGTGTTCAGAGCGAATGAATCATTGTTCCTTAATATCCTTTTCAATATGCCACAATTTAGGGCACTTTTAAAATTTTCTAAAACAATATCCTAATCTGAATATTGACTAATTTGAGCCACATTCCCACCTCTATCTCAGCACACGCTGCCAGTCTTCCCCCGTATCTCCTCTCAATTCCCCACCACACCTCATAAAATTGGAATCAAAGAAATCTCACTCTGTCATTGTTAATCTAAGAGTAAAAGCACTGATTTTAATACTGCTTTACTAGTTTCAGCCATCTAAGTAGGTAGGCCTCTAGGTATTCTGCAGCTCACTGGTGGTCTTGACAGCCATTCATACATGTTTGTATTAACGTTATTTTTCAACTAAATCGCAGTTGGAAAAAAGAATCTTTAATATTATGCCCTTGGATCTGTTACTGCAACACTAGCACTTGTGATGCAATAGGACACTGCGCCTGTACTAAAAGGGCCAAGAGTAAATGCCTTTTTTCTTTTTGGTGTTTGTTTTGTTTTGTTTTGTTAAACATGTCTAGAGAGTTGGTTAATGCTGAATTTGTGAAATAGCCCTTCCA